CTGGAAATTGCATGCCAGAGCGAAAAAATGCTTTAAAAAACGACCACGTTCCACGAGATGTCCTCTGTGATACTCTCACACGCACACACACCGACGCACACAGCTATTATCTGCAGATTTACATCCATTTAAGAGAGAGCCACACAATAGAAAAGAAAAACAATAACAAAATACCATTCAAATGGAATTCCGTTGTTTGTGTTTCTTTTTCTGTTTTTGCTGTTGTTTCCCCAACACGCCTTGTGTAGCTCTAGCTTTATCAAGGGGCTTGAATAACAGAAAATCAATGTAACAGAGCCATATTCGATAAAGCAAATGCATTGACAGAGCGGGAGAAAAAAACAATGAATATTTAAAGCAAGCTTTTAAATATAATGTTTAATGAAGACATTGAAATTTAAATACTTCATTTCTAAATTGTAAAGAAAAATCATTTATATTCTTTTTTTAAGAAACTCCTTCCGTCTACTGTAAATTTAATGAAAAATATTAGCTGGAAGCATGCTGCTTCCTTTGAACTAGAAGCATAAATTATGTATTAGTGTGTGTGTGAGAAACCTGCATATGTTGCCATTTTGTTGTCCTTTCTCTAGCCTTACATCACATAATGTTAAGGAATATTAAATGCTTGTAATTTGTAATACCCTAATTTTAAAAATTTATAAAAATTTATGTGACACATCTCAGGTAAAGTTGAAAGAATAAGGAATGACAGAATTAGGAAGTAACTTTAGTTCAAAAAAGATTTTAGAGCTCTGCATTTTTGTAATTTATCTTGTCGAATTAACTTAATTAATAATTAAGAAAAATCTACAGAATTTAAGTTTTTGAGAAAATTCCTATAAAGGATTTAAAACTACGGTTTATGATTTTCAATCATGCCTTTATATTTTTATACCCCCCACCATAGTATGGAGGGTATATTAAGTTTGTCCTTCAAATCGTAACACCTCGAAACATACATTTAGACCTCACAAAGTATAAATATTCTTGATCAACATAAAATTTTATGTCGATTTAACTATGGCCGTCCGTCTGTCTTTCTGTCCGTCTATGGAAATCGCTCTAGCTTCCGAACGCTGCAATTCGTTCAAAAAATCTTACTCAGATGTGTCTTTAGTTTGCAGGACTTTTGGTATTGAAAATGAGCTTTATACATCCACAATTAGGTATAGCCCCCATAAAACTGTACCTTCCTATATTCGGTACTTAGATAATTTTAGCTACATTATTCACCGAAATTGTTTAAAATTTCGTATTTGTAATTCCAAATGGATACTACAAATGTGAAAATTGTCTATTCAGGTCCAGGTCTTCGTATAGATCTAAAAACGGCGGTAACTCCCTATATTTGGTATGTTTAAGATTTTTAACAGAATTTCTGTCTATTCAGATCCATGTCTTCGTATGGACCACAAAACAGCGGTAACTCCCTATATTCGGCATTTTTTAGATTTTTAACAGAATTTTAAACGATTTTTTTTTTTTGTTGAAAATTTTCAATTTTGTTCCAAATAGTGGAGAGTATTCAAAGTTCGGTCCGGCCGAACTTACTGCTTTTTTTTTTGTTTTTATTTTTTTTTTTTAAATTTTATTGAATGAAAGCAAAAATATCAGAAATATCATCAAATCTTAGAATAAGTTTAGATTTGTTCGAATTGGTCACCATTGGCACGAATTATGACCTTCAAACGGCCAATGAAACCGTCACACGCTGCCCCAATTTTGCCCTGCGGTATTTTGGCCCATTTCCGGCGAAGCGCTTGTTTCAGGTGATCGACACTTTGGTACTTTTTAATGCCAACCTTGCTTTTTAAAATACTCCAGGCAAAATAGTCCAACGGATTAGTATCCGGACATTTTGATGACCATTGTGCGCTGGAAATGAAGCGGTGAACCTCATTTTGTAACCATTCTTGGGTGGCGCGTGCTGAGTCCTGTTGGAAAGTCCAAGGTCTGCGGCCAAAATTTTTGCGTGCCCAAGGATTTAATACACCCTCCAGAATATTTCCGCGATAATATTCGGCATTTATTCTGATGTCACGGTCGATTAATACGAGCGGACAGCGACCATCGGCTGTTGTGGCGTCCCACACCATCACCATGGCCGACGCTTGAGTGCTGGTGGCCAACCTAAGGTGCACATTTTCAGCTGACCTCTTTGGCAAGTAAACACGATCATTTTGTCTGTTTACAAACTGCTGGGCAACGAATGTTTTCTCATCGGAGACCACTAAACCAAATTCGGCACTTCATCACTTTCGGCCACGCGAAGCAACTCTTTAGCTCTTTTGAGTCTATTTTCTTTCTGTTACGGTGTAAGTTCTTGCACTTTTTGGAATTTCAATGGCTTTACCTCGAGCTCAATTTTCAATATTTCCGAATTTATGAGCTGTCACTGGAGTAATATTAACAGCTGTCGGACGAGTGGCTTAGAAATGACAGCAGTCTGAAATTGGTTGCAGTTTTTTCATCTCACCCTGTATATAAGGTTTTATCTTCGTTCTATATTTTTCCTTCCCAGAACTCTATGTAGCTCATCGTCATTGAAAATTACCATAGCATTTATTTTTCAATTGTCCGCCTCTAACAATAGCTGAGTGTGTATGTGAAAACAAAACAATTGCACATTTTTAAGTAGCTGCAATTTCGGAGTCATTTCAATACCCCAAATGAATAATAAAGCTTGTTGCCAACTTCACAATAGGGTTGGCTCTTACCATTAAACTGTCTTGACCGGCGAATTGCATTCATTACAGCATTAAAGGTTAAAATAATTACTTGAAAATAGAAAACAATAGAACAATTTTCAGAATGATCAAACACACGACACGTTGATATCAGTTCGTTTAGTTGGCTAATTTTTACTCAAAATGATAGTTTTTTTTTTTTTTGAAATTGACCTGGAAAAAAACATAAGTTTTGCTACTAAGCTTAAAACCAGTTGTTGCCAAGTCATGATTCAAAAAAATTACAGTGAAATCTTGTAAAAGTGAAAAAATTATTAGAATAATATTGGGGATTTGTAAAATAAAATTCTTTAAATCTTTAAATCTTTACTCGAACTCTACCGGGAGTACATAAAAGGGGAAACGAGTATGCTCTTTTTTCTATGCCGCTCGAATAAGAGTGTTGTTGCTTTTGTTGCAAAATCCAGTGGTCCCTTGCTTCTGTTGTTTTCTCTCTCAAAATAATTTTTTCCGCTTGATTTTACTCTTAGAAAATCTTAGTATAGACAAATTAAGGTATAGACTACAAAGACCTAATACCAATAAAAATAAAAAATATTTTGTGCTTTGAGAGATTTGGGTAAATAGACTTAAGGTGAGAATACATAAAACGCTTATTTGACCGGCTTAAGTCATCGGATGGCTTCCTCGAAAAAGAACAAAGAACCGTAGCCTAAATTGGAACTAGGTCAACGTAAAACTCCTTTGTTCCTCTACGAAGAAACCAGCCGGCGACTTAAGAAGTCAAATAAGCGTTTTATGTATTACCACCTTTAAGCTCTCTCACAGAATGAACGACATCTATTGAAGCACTTTTTTCGAAGATAAGAGGTCGGACAACTTTTTAGTCTAAATCATGACTTGTCTATGCTTTTAAGGCGAGAATACATAAAACTCTTTTTTGACTGGCTCAAGTCATCGGGTGGCTTCTTCATATAGGAACAAAGGAGTTTAAGGTTGACTTAGTTCAATTTTGGCCCTACGTTCCTTTGTTCTTTTCCGCAGAAGCCAGGCGAGTACTTAAGCCTGCAAAAAAAGCGTTTTATGTATTCTAACCTTTAAAGTTTTATAAATACAACCTTTTTTAAATGATTTTTCCATTTCCATAAATAATTCTTTATTTAGACTCTTTGTGATATGTGAATCTATAGAGGTTCCACTGTACTTGCGTGTTTTTTTATTTACTAATCTTGTATCAATTTAAATTACTATCAAAACAGCGTGGGGTAGGGTAGCTGGGTATTAATTTGTCAAAATTAATTATCGATTTGTGTGTTTAATGAACGTTCAACTTGGATTGCGTGCAATTTCAAACAAAAATGCATTTTTGACTCTCAAAAAAAAAAAAAAAAAAACAGCAGCAACAACATCGAACATGTGTCGTAAATTGTTTTCTGAGAAACGAAAAATTATCTTTGAAATGAAAACAAAAAATCAATTTATGGCTACCATTTATGTTATCGATAAGAAGCAACTGTGTATGTTTGCATTTGCCTTGGGCCTATCAAGGACAACTGTCCTTGAGTTCTTGGGAAATTATGTGTCCATTTAACGAGTTATGAGCAATTTTGTCTTCTTTCACACGGGTTATGAGATTTCTTGTTTTGTTATCGTCATTTTTTTTCCTTTTTCCTTCGTTTATTCTTGTGATATTAATTTCCTGTTGGCATTGATTACAATAGCTAAGGAATAGTTTTTTTTGGCTGCTAGGCTTTTTGCTTTCAATATTTCGCTAAATATTATTTAATATATATTTTGCGGGAAAATGATAATGAACTTTCAGAACAACTTTAATAAACATTTTTCCAAGAAATTTATCTGTCATAATTTCTATAGTTCAGTATAAGGTGATATTATATTTCGAAACCCTGTCAAGTGGGGTTCCAATTGCCAAATATAACCAGAAAAGCGTGGTAGATATGTACATATTAATTGCGTATTAAATGATTTGTTAAATACCCATCCAGCTAATATATTATTACCCAATTTTATTTATCGCCATTCTACGTTTTACCTCGAATTTCCCACACCCACCCTCCAGGTTTTTATCTCCCCAAAATGTAAAAACTTGGGCTTTATGAAATGTCACCACATAAGATATGCCTTATATCCCGTCATAAATAAATCTATTCCGAAGCAAAAAAAAAAAAAAAAAACTAAAAATAAATGCAATTTATTAAATTATTTGTCAATAATCTTATCTAGTCATTGCCAAGCAGCAGAAGAGGCGCCACCGACAGCCTAACACTTTTTACGTCTCTGAAAAATTTCCTCTAAACAGTTTTCGTTGGGAGCTGAAGCAATGAAGATATCGGAAAGAATTTTCGCCTTCTTATTATTTGCAGCATTTGCAAGTGAAATTTATGCAGCGGCTGTTGGTGATTCTAAGGTTGCGGATTCGGTGAAATTCTATGTTTACACCCGACAAAATCCAGAGAGTCCTCAGCCATTGCAGGCAAATGTGGAGTCGGTGATTAGAAATGTCCTCAATCCCACTAAACCAATTACGTGAGTAAAATTACCTAAAATGTATACCATTTGGAACTTGCTGGCAAATTCCGTAACTAGGAAAATCTTATTGTAGAATACATAAGAGGAATTTTTTCTGATTTTAGTCATCGGCGAAAAAAAACATAAAAAACAAAGGACATAAGGCTGGCGAAGTTAAATTTATGGGACGAAATTAAATAACGTCAAACTACAATACTTTGTTCTTTTACTAAAAATCATCTAATGGCTCAAGATGAGAATACATAAAGAGCTTTTTTGACTGGTTATATCATCGGAAAAGAACAAAGAAGCTTAGGGCCAAAATCGAACTAAGTCAACCTAAAACTTCTTTGCTCTTAAGTCATCGACTAGCTTTTTTGTAAAAGAACAAAGGAGTATAAAAAGTATAGATTAAGCGCTGAAAATGAACTAAGTCAACCTAAAGCTCATTTTTTCTTTTACGAAGACGCCATCCGATGATTTAAACCAGTCAAAAAAGCTTTTTATGTACTCTCACCTTAAGTCATCAGCTATTTTCTTCATAAAAGAACAGAGGTATTTTAGCCGATGACTTAAGTCAGTCAAAAAAGTCTTCTCTTTACTCTCGCCCTTCTAATGCCAAAATGATTCTCTCTCTTTCTCTCTCTCCCTCAGCCTGTCTATTCATGGAATTGCCGACAACAAAGACTCCTTGATGAACATTTTGGTCAAGAATGCCAAGCTGCAAATGGAGGATGGCAATGTTATTGTTGTGGATTACAGCGAAGTGATTGACAACTCCGCCGACCTTGCAGCCGGAGCAGCCAAAGTTCCCGCAATTGCCAAAGCTATAGCCGACTTAGTTGTCCTACTGCATGACAACTTCAATTTTGATCTACAACATTTGCATGCTGTTGGCTTTAGTTTGGGTGGCCAAATAAGTGGGCTGTTGGGGCAAAATATCCTTGAACGCTTGCATCACAGATTGGCCCACATCACCGGCCTAGATCCGGCCGGGGTTTTCTTCAACGCCTCCACACCTTATGACGAACGTCTGACCGCCGATGATGCCGACTTTGTTGAAGTTGTACACACTAATGCGGGCTATTTGGGTTTTCCAACACCTTGCGGCCATGTCGATTATTATCCCAATGGTGGTGTTCATCAGCCTGGCTGTGATGATGAGCAAGACCCGGCATGCTCGCATGTTCGTGCTTATCTGCTTATAACAGAAATGTGGTTGCCGTTGGAAAACCAAGAAATGTTGGTTTTGAAATGTCCCAGTTTTAATAGTTTGGATTTGAAGAGTTGCCGTTGGCTAAATGAGAAAATGGGTGATTTACGTAGCAGTGGCCGGGACGGTGTTTATTATCTGGAAACAAATGCCGTGGAGCCCTATGGGAAGGGAGCTTATCAAAAGGAATTTTTGTAAGATAAACAAAAAAGGAGAGAACTTTTGATGGAAATATATTTTTTGGAGAGAAGGAGGAAAAAATAAAGTATTCAAATAAAAAAAAAAATAGAAATTGGATATGCATTTCGGGGGAAAATCAAGAGAACTTAGAATACATAAGAAAAAAATATTTTTTATTTATTTTTTGTTGCAAAATGGCCAGGCTTTTTATAAAAACAACGTTTGTTTATTAGTGGAGAACGATGGTAATGTTTATAGGGGGTTAAGCAGGGAATACCTAGGTTTCGGAAAGAGCCACCAATCCTCATTTTTAATTTATTTATAAATATAAAGACAGGAAAAATCGGATTGAGATATGGATTAAGCTACAGGTAAAAATAGATATTTTTTATATTGGTCCCCAAATTCGAAAATCAGGACATGGTAATATCCTTAAAATTCCGTCTGGCAACGCATTTTTTCTCCCCCAACCTTGCATTTTTTTCTGTTTAAATAAACCCCCGAAACTTCCATCACAACCCGGATATGACGTAAACTTTTTAAAATTATTTTTTTTCTTTCGATCTTTTTACATTTTTTGGCTTCCCCAAATTCCCCGAAAATTTCCACTTCCTTTCCCAGGAAATTCAAGTTCGGCTCTCTAAAAACAAAAAGTTATTTATATTTTTGTTATATTCCATTATTTTTCACATAAACTTTGATTTGTTTTGTTTATGTCTTTGATTTGAGGTCAATCAACTTCTATTTTCATGTGACAGTGATTTTGGTTTTTTTCGGAGAGATTTTCTCCGTTTTGTTTTCTTAATATTCCAGGCACGTAGAGAGCTGCAGGACACATAGGATGTGCTGGAATTCCTGATACTCCAATAGCTTTTATTATGAAAATAAAAAAACAAAACAACAAAGAAATAAAAACATAACCATAAAGGACAGCAGCACATGCTGAGTTTAGGATGTGCGAAAAGGACAATTTTCAAATTCAATGGAAATTTAATGGGGAATTTATTGACTTTGCATAGGCATATTGTCAACACAAAAAGGTTAACTTGCAAAATGACTTTATAGCTCAATAAAACAAAGTCTATGAACAAAAAAATAATAGAAAAATCGAAAATCCGAAACTATTTAAAAACCCTAAGGAAAATATAAAGAAATGTTTCTTTCGAAACAAAAACATTGGCAGTAGTTTTTAAAATAGATTTTTCGAATTGATTTAAACAATGGATTTTTAAAATGTATTTAATTCAATACTTCACAAACTCAATTGAGATTATTTAATTAACAGCTTCAAACTTACAGATTTATTTTCCGAAACAAAGACACTTGGAAAGTTTAAATTACTTTTTTCTCCCTCTCTCTCTCTCTCTCTCTCTCTCTCTCTCTCTCCACTACTCTCTCCGCTCTTTTGTTGAGTTTGAAATAAATGAACAGTAAATTGGCTTTGGAAAAACTTTAATTGAAAACAATTTAAATGTATAACGAGTGGCGAAAAAAACTTTGCGATTTTTTGCTTCTATTTTCCTGTCGTCGTCGTTTTTAGCAACATATCTAGAGGCATTACTAGCCATAAAACTGCCAATCAACAGCCAGCCAACAAAGAAAAACTATTCGATGAAAAACAAAACACCAACAACAACGACAATGATGTGAATTGTTACAAATTTTCACTTTTAGCCGGCATCAAGGACCGCCGATAGTCCATGTGCTTATATATATCATAGATAAATGGCCACACATACACTCACACACACATATATGCAGACAAACCACAACATTGTGCAGAGATTCTCGTTCTTTTCATTTAGGGGCAAAAACCACTAAATCAAAAAAGTATTCCAGTTAAATGATGCTGAAGAAAATTTCCCTGGGAAATATTTAATTTCAGCAAAAGAAATTTTATACAAAATTTTAGGCCAAAGGGAATTTTTCAAATTATGCAAATAAAATTGAGTATTTTACTTAATTTTAATGGGAGTTAAATAAACACAGATACTGTTCACAAGGGAACAGAACAATGAAGCAAAACTAAAAAACATTAAAACAAATATTAAATTTAAACAAGGACAATAAAAATATATGATGAAAAGAGGGACAGTTTTTACAGGCAACTTTACAGACCAGGACTGCAAGGGAGTCTCCTTAGTCACCTTCACAGCCCTGGGCTGTAAGGGAGTTTTTGTGAGTTTCTGTGAGGACTTCTTTACAGCCCTGGGCTGTAAGGGAGTCTCTCTAGACGCCCTTACAGACCTGGGCTGTAAGGGAGTCTTCACAGACACCTTTACAGCCCAGGGCTGTAAGGGAGTCCTCACAGACACCTTTACAGCCCAGGGCTGTAAGGGAGTCTTTACAGACACCTTTACAGCCCTGGGCTCTAAGGGAGTCTTTCTAGACGCATTTACAGCCCTGGGCTGTAAAAGAGTCTTTACAGACACCTTTACAGCCCAGGGCTGTAAGGGAGTCTTTACAGACACCTTTGCAGCCCAGGGCTGTAAGGGAGTCTTCACAGACACCTTTACAGGCCAGGGCTGTAAGGGAGTCTTTACAGACACCTTTACAGGCCAGGGCTGTAAGGGAGTCTTCACAGACACCTTTACAGGCCAGGGCTGTAAGGGAGTCTTTACAGACACCTTTACAGCCCAGGGCTGTAAGGGAGTCTTTACAGACACCTTTACAGCCCAGGGCTGTAAGGGAGTCTTTACAGACACCTTTACAGCCCTGGGCTGTAAGGGATTCTTTACAGACACCTTTACAGCCCAGGGCTGTAAGGGAGTCTTTACAGACACCTTTACAGCCCAGGGCTGTAAGGGAGTCTTTACAGACACCTTTACAGCCCAGGGCTGTAAGGGAGTCTTTACAGACACCTTTACAGCCCAGGGCTGTAAGGGAGTCTTTACAGACACCTTTACAGCCCAGGGCTGTTAGGGAGTCTTTACAGACACCTTTACAGCCCAGGGCTGTTAGGGAGTCTTTACAGACACCTTTACAGCCCAGGGCTGTAAGGGAGTCTTTACAGACACCTTTACAGCCCAGGGCTGTAAGGGATTCTTTACAGACACCTTTACAGCCCAGGGCTGTAAGGGAGTCTTTACAGACACCTTTACAGCCCAGGGCTGTAAGGGAGTCCTCACAGACACATTTACAGCCCAGGGCTGTAAGGGAGTCTTTACAGACACCTTTACAGCCCTGGGCTCTAAGGGAGTCTTTCTAGACGCCTTTACAGCCCTGGGCTGTTAGGGAGTCTTTACAGTCACCTTTACAGCCCAGGGCTGTTAGGGAGTCTTTACAGTCACCTTTACAGCCCAGGGCTGTAAGGGATTCTTTACAGACACCTTTACAGCCCAGGGCTGTAAGGGAGTCTTTACAGACACCTTTGCAGCCCAGGGCTGTAAGGGAGTCTTCACAGACACCTTTACAGACCAGGGCTGTAAGGGAGTCTTCACAGACACCTTTACAGCCCAGGGCTGCAAGGGAGTCTTTACAGACACCTTTACAGCCCAGGGCTGCAAGGGAGTCTTTACAGACACCTTTACAGCCCAGGGCTGTAAGGGAGTCTTTACAGACACCTTTACAGCCCAGGGCTGTAAGGGAGTCTTTACAGACACCTTTACAGCCCAGGGCTGTTAGGGAGTCTTTACAGACACCTTTACAGCCCAGGGCTGTAAGGGAGTCTTTACAGACACCTTTACAGCCCAGGGCTGTAAGGGAGTCTTTACAGACAACTTTACAGCCCTGGGCTGTAAGGCAGTCTTTACAGGCACCTTTATAGCCCTGGGCTGTAAGGGAGTCTTACTAGACGCCTTTACAACCCTGGGTTGTAAGAGAATCTTTCTAGACGCCTTGACAGCCCTGGGATGTAAGGGAGACGACTTTACAGTCCCTGGCTGTAACTAAGTCTTTGCAGATGTCATTACTGGCCTGACCCACAGCGCTTAACTGTAAGAAGGTCTCTGTACAGGTCTTTTTCCGACAAAGCATGAGCCACTCATATTATTGTTTAATTTTCCCACAAGAAAACTAAGTTGTTCATAACTTTCCTTGTTTTGGGTCAGTGTGTAATTACGACGTCCAAACCTCAAGAGAATACTCAGATTACGTCGCAACCTGTATTCTAACGGAAAAGATGTTTGGTCGATTTTATTTGCCCCCACACACACACACACTCAACATCTTTCCGGTTTCCTTTAGAACAAGGTAAACAGAAGCAATGCCCAGGCAACTGAGACAACAGCGGAATGTCAACATCACCCACTTTGCCACTGGAGACCTAATTAAACGCCTGGCCACATGCGAAGTCAAATTTAAATGAAATTAACAGCCACATTTAGAGGAGGCAATTCTTATCTTCGGCCATAACTGTCAACAGCAATGGGGTACTAAAACCCAATAACTGGTCCTTCGACGATTTCCATCAGCCTGGGCAATTTTGCACAAATGTAAAGGCATTTAAATGAATGTGGTCGGGACGGACATTTAGAGGTTAACTTCGCATAAAATCCCTTCTTCCGCTTTACATTACTTCGTCTCTGAGCAAAGAAGCTCAGACAAGAAACAATAGCTATTGAATGTTAACAAGAGGAGGGGCGTATGAGTTGTCTTGACAAGAAAACAAAAGCAATCGCAAGATTCAATTGCCAATGGGAGAGGTTGGTCGTTCCGTGGTGGCGGCCACAAACAAGACATTGTATCAATTTCAATTTGAACTTGTTATGGGATGGCATTGGCAAAATAGAATCATTTGTCTTTCAATGGAAGCAGAAGTGTAAGGGGGTGGGGGAGGGGTTGGTGTTGGTGTTGGTGTATGGAGGTGTTTCTGTGTTATCTCCACGAGGACAATGTCTTTGTTTGCCTGTCTAAAGGATGTCACACAGACAGACTTGTTATCCCCACACTTTGAAGCTGTAAAAGATTTCATTTCAGATTAAGAGCCGCCATAAAAACGGGTACCACGCGGAAATCCCACCAACAACAAAAACAGAAGTCAATTCTCGTAAATTTTGAATTCATTTCTTTCGCTCTTAACAAGAATTAAGTCTAGCCATGATCTAACCTCCCATAATATGTATTGGTAATAGCCTCAGATTTTCTTCTCGTTCCTCCTCTATTCTTTGTTTTGATTTGCAACAATGGTTTTTTCTTGGATTTTTTTCCATAGGCAAAAAAAGGTAACAACGGGTGTAGGTGGCATGGGCCGGTTGGTATTCGGTCATAGACTTCTTGGGTTTATGTGACATTTTGTGTTTGGGTGTGTGTGTGTGCGGCATTCATGAATATTTAAGGCATGTTTAGTTTCAACCAAAAAACCACAAAAACCTCAACGACAATCTGAGCTGATTACATTTGTTAGTTTTATTTTACGCATTCTGCTCAGAGGCAGCGCTACGCATATGGGGAGCAATCATATTGAAAACACATGTGGGAAAATGGGGAAATTATTTTTCTTTTTTTTCGAAAGAAAACATATTAGAAAAGTCTTGACTGATTAATTCTGCAAGATGTTTTTTCCGAGCAATACATAATGAAGTATTTGTAGGCGTTAGTACTGCGTCGGGGTGTAAGAGAATCTTAGCAGACGATTTTATAGCTCTTGGATGAAATGGACGCAGGGCCGCAAGGGAGTTATAACAGACGGATTTACATGCCTGAACTGCAAGGAAGTCTTAACAGACGCCCTGGCATGTTATGACGCTTTTACATCTAGAAGAGAACATAAAAATTATTTGGGCGCCACACTTTGTGGACATTACTATTTCGACGCCTTTAGAACCCTGGGTTATATGTGAGTCTTTACAGACGATGTTACAGCTCTGGGATGAGATAGACGCCAGACGTGCTGGGTCTTAACGGACGCCATTATAGCTCTGGGATGTTATGACGCTGTTAAATCAAATAGCTAATATACAATTTGTTTGGGCGCCAATTGTGTGCAAATTGGTTTAAAGACACCTTTACATCCCGGGATTGTAAGTGAGGATTACAGGCGATTTTACAGTTATGGGATGCCAGGCAGGGAATCTTTTCAGACGCCATTACCGTCCTAGGCTGCACCTTTTATGGGGCTTACATCGAAGACGTCTTCATTACAAGCGCATCATAAATGTCATCATAAACACCTTCACACAAAATATCGAACATACAATTCATTCGGGCGCCAAATTTGTGTAAATTGCCTTTTCCTGGGTTGTAAGGGATTCTCCATAGACGCTTTTACAGCCCTGTACTGTAAGGGAGTCTTTTATATGGCTCACACCCAAAACCTCTTCACTACAAATGCTTCATAAATGTTATCATGAAGACCTTCACCCAAAATAGCGAAAATACAATTCATTTGGGCGCCAACTTTAAGTAAATTACCTTTTCCTGGGTTGTAAGGAAGTCTCCGTAGCCATGTGCTGCAAAGGTGTCTTAGACTTACATTCAAGATCTCTTCATTACAAACGCCTGATAAAACTCATCATGAATACTTTCACACAAAATATCGCAGATACGATTCATTCGGGCGCCACTTATTTTTTTTCGAAATTTCCATATTTAAAGGTTTCTGCCAAGTTCATTGCAGATTAAATGCCAGTGTTTGTGTTCGGTTTACTGGCATTGTTTGTCATTAACCACTTTAGCCACTTTGAGATAATTTAGATTAGTATGAGAGCTTTTTTCCAATGCCATGGATGACTGCTTAATTCTACTGGTCTTAACTTTTATAAGCCATGTCTACAATGGCATTACTGCTCTGCAACTTTGACCGGGTACAAGAAATGACTTTGGATTGGATAAATATTCAGCGATTTGATTTATTTGCTTAACATGAAAACTTGGCGAATGGTGGTTTGGTGGAAAGTTGTTCAAGTGGAATTCCCGTTGATATGCGTGTGTGTGTGGAGACATACACATGTACTACAGTGACGTACGCACCGCCTCGCTCTCACAAAATGTTAAAGAAAACGGGCAATTTCCTTTGTTCCTAGAATTTATGTTGAAGGTCAAACTAAGTTTATCTAAGCAGAATTTGTTTCAGGTAGCTTCCTTATTTGTTGAGTAACCATTTAATACCGAGAACCACTGGCCAGGACATTGTTGCAAACTCAAATAAAAGTCTGGCAGAAAAACAAGAAACCAATAAAAAGTTATCAAACTTTACTCCTTTTGTGGGACAAAGTATCATCTCTGAAACTATCAAGGCAATTGAGAACTAAATGCGGCCCCAAGGAACCCAGTAGATGGACGAATAATTTGGGGTAATAAAATAATAAAGTGTTGACAAGTTGCAACATTGATAGCCCCGTTCCCAAAGCATTTAAGGAACTAAATCGAATTAAGTGAGTTAGTAACAATGTCCATTAATAGAAACTTAGGTGTGCTCCACTTTAAGTTGTTAATTATTTTTTATTTTTTTTTTTTTTTTCATTAAAGTTTACCTTAATTTATGCAAAAACATTGCCACAATATTCATTTGTTGTTGACATTCATTTGTTATTTTTAGTTTATTTTCGTAAAAATAGGGCTCGTGCCCTGATAAATGCGTGTTATGGCCAAAAATGTTGTGTTTATCAGTTGTGAAATTCCTGCAGCTCCTCCTCATTAGCCTTGCATGCCGCATTATTATCTTTTTTCCATTTTAAATTAATTTTCCAAGCATTGTTTGTTGACATTTGTTGAGGGAAAATTGTTTGTATTCGCCAGGCCCGCAGCTTGCTTCCAGCCAGCCAGCCATCCATCCAATCAGTCAATATCAATACACAACGAGACATGCTTGTGTTATTTGTAATGTGTCACACACGTACATGTACCAACGCATATGTTCGCTGGCATATGCCCATGATGATATAGGTCGCCGGTGACATATATCCATAATTTAACGCTTATGCCACCGCCGCCACATTAACAATGAAATGCTGACAATGGATAACCTATTTATTTACCAATTACCAGCAACATTTTGTAAAGCATATCACCGGTAGTGGTGGTGACAGCAATAGCTGACGTTGGGTAAGGGTTAAACTCGAATGTGGTAAAGAGAGCGAAATAACTGTTAATGTAGGGACATACATTCAATGGCAATGATGTATGACGGTTGTATATTTTTAGAATTCTCTACTCATTAGAACTCAAAGGAAGCTATAAAGGCGCAATTTATGTCGTAGATACAAGGAAGTATTTTTAGACTACCCTGTAGGCTAAAGACTCAAAAGTAGCCAAAAGCAGTCATCATTAGAGAGCAGGGACAGCCATGATGAGATTAGAAGAAAATGCAAATGCGTGAGATAAAGAGAATGTCAACGAAAATGTATTAGAGAGACGCTTAAGGTGAGAGCACAAAAAAAGCTTTTTTTACTGGCTTAAGTCATCGGCTGGCTTCTTCGCAGCTGAACAAATTTTGACTTAGTTCGATTTTGGTCCTACGCTTCTTTTTTTCTTTTTCGAAGAAGCCTGTCGATGATCTTAAAAACTAGTCCCTCAGTTCCATTTAGTTCAAGCGTTGCTTTTAGATCTATGGTAACCTTTAAGCTTAATTTCTCATTTTCGACCTTTAGTTCCCTTTTCTTGTAATTTAACTTTATCAAATGAACCTTCGTCCAAAACAGGTTTAAGGTGTCTTCGCATTTCATATTTTTTTTAATATATAATAAAGGGGTGCCAGAGCCGCACTCGATTCCTGCCGTCGTTTACCCATATAATTTAATATTAATATGCCTAGCCATGAGCCAAGCTGCTTGTGTAGCTTCCCTTTTTGACGTGTTCTTATAGACGCCTTTTCAGCCCAAGCGTTCGAAAACAGTATTTTGGAGGGTCTTCCGAGCCAAGTCTTTCAATAAACTCTGTAGAAACTTTTAAGGGCAAGGCAAAATCAACGAGCTACGAGTTTTTTAATGTCACTCGTTATCGATAACACAACAAGCACATGGAGATCGATAACGCATAACGTGTTCATTCTACTTTGCCCTTAACAATCCAAGATTCGAACAAGTCTGGGTAGTTTCGAGTCCATAAATAGCAAAATTTGTACGTGTGACCGAGTTCGCGTGCCCGATAATAGTGTTGTTTATTTAAAAATTCATAGAAAAGTGTTAACTTCAGTTATAGCCAAAATAATTCATCATGGTCATATGTATGTGAATTAATCTATTATTTATTGTTGGGTTTTTTTTACATAAACTCGTACATAGTCAAATTTTGAGACATAATAAAAAGAATTCCCATTTTTATGACAACAAAATATCTGGCTAGATATAAATACATATGTAAATAACAAATGCAAACTAGGTCTGGCAAATTTTGTTATCTATATTCCCAGTTGAGGTACAATGACTTCTTCGTTTTGTTGTTTCTTTTTGACTTTTCAGTTTAAATAGTTCAAATAATAAAATTGGTCATTTGTGGCAAAACCAAAAAAAAAGTAGGAAGACCAAAAAACACGAGATAAGATAATGGGCCTAAAATTCGGAGTATTTAAATTATCAAGTACGAAAGACACTTCTGTTTATATACTCAAGAAAAGAAAAGATTCATGATTGTCTGTCACTCCGCTAGTTCGTCACTCACACCAGTCTTTCCTCTTTCGTAGCGTAAAACGATATCACGTACCACAAAAAAAAATAATTGAAAAACATAAAAAACTATTATCATGCTTGTCTATGATGAGTGACTGACTGACCGACCGAATGAGTGAGTGATAGTTATCGGCTCTGGTTTCGTTGTTCACAAACAAATTGTATAATTAAGCAATAAAACAACGAGATACCCCATCATGATGGCAATTCACGAGATATGCATGTTTGCCATTCGAACATTTAATTAATACTCAATGCTTAATGGGCTGTAAATGTCATTTATTATTAATTTATTAATAACATTTGGGTTTGTGGGATTTGTGTAAAAAACAAATACAGGCTTATTGGCAATATTGCCATACTCAACAGTCAGAGACTGTAAATAGCAACCGTAATTGAAGTTAGAATCAAAGGATAATTTCGATGACTTAAAAATTGAATGACAAACATAAAATACCCTCCATAGTCTGTCAGAAACATTCACTGTGGGCGGAAAATATTTTTTTAATTATTCACAATATCGGTAGATATTCGCAGAATTTCAGCCCGTAGCCAAAAGTAGTGACAGCCATTTGAATATATGGTTTATTACTTCAAACATGTAATTATCTTTGACATACACATATGTGTTTACATACAGATGGACACATGTATGTATGTATGTATGTTTTACATGGGCAACATAAAACAATTAGTGTTGAATAATTTTGCATTCCATTTACCTAAATGAACAGGCCTATAAGAAAAACCAGTAAGGAAACAACAAAAGTCCGGCAGTGCCGAATATATGATGCCCTACAGAAGTGTGAATTTGCAGAGCATCTCGTGCAAATATACGTTCATGTTGGAGATTGATTAAAATTTTACTGGCTGACTTCTTTGAGATTGATATCGGATTGATACTTTTTGGACCTACGAGAATAGTTAGAGAATCACGAAATCGGAGATAATTGTATATAAATCGAAATCGAAGCTCAAACATATTTAGCAAAGGTATTGGAAGCTGTATATTATATGCTGAACTGAATATGACCGTTACTAGGGATATGTAAATCGACTTTCGATTAATCGTCTATACAACATGACGTAGGGTACCAATACAAACAATACAAAAATTCACAACAACAAGTGAGCTTTGTTGCAACAAGGTTGTTTCGATTGTTATCATTTGGCTTACCTTTCAAAGCTTCTCTCCACATCATTTCCCCCCTTCTTCCATGAAACACTCCACAGGTAGGTACGAAACACTCGCACAGAATGCAAAAATATGAAATGCACAAAAGCGTGCCAAGTCATCGGCAAACGACAAACAATAATAACAACGACAGTGCCAGAGTGTCAACAAGACAACGACCACCGGCAGACGGCAGGCAGGCAGCTTGACAAACAACCAGACAACGACATAATGGGCCACATTGGGATTATCGGATAAAACTCGTAAATAAGTTATGAACAGTTAAAAGAGCAAAATTGACATAAATGGCGGGGCAAAGCAGACAGACCGAGTCAGCGGGACATGATGTGTCACTTAAATAAGGCTTAGTGTTTAAAAAAAAACAAAAAATAAATTAAACAATTAAAATTATAATTTATTTCGGTGTTGTTTGTATTTCCCGCCTCCAAAAACAAACTTGAGTTTGCATTTGGTTCTGTTGTTGTTGTTTTTGGAGAAACGTTCCGTTATTTGTGCAACAGAGAAACAAATACATGAATGGAAACCACACACGCACACAATTACTTGTAAAAGACAATGAGAGATCTCTGAGAGAGTTGTTGTCATGATTAATTTGATGTTGTGGTAACGGTGACTCTTTAACTCTTCCTCTTCTTAAGTAATGAACATGGAATTGCATAAGTTGTGCAATGTCATTATTGTTGTTGCTGCTGTTTCTTTTTTCTTCTTCTTATTCTTAATGTAATTAATACGTGGAATGCGTACAAAATAAATGAATTCATTTATCATGATACGTACGTATGGGTGTGTGTGCGTGTTAGTGTGTCTATGGTGCGTATGATGTATGAATGAGCCGAAGTTAGGTATGATGACGACTTCATTGCTGCTATGCAATGTTGACTAAATTTTTACACATTGTCATGAGTTTTGTTGTTTTTAATTTGCCGCCAAAGCTTGTTTTAGGTATTACAAGGCAGATGATTGGTGAGCGATAGACAGACGACACTCACCCATGCTTAGTAGTCACCGAACCTATTAAATAATATTTATCACTTGTTAATATACTAACCAAGGAAATCTAAAACCCCTCCCAAAAAACTTTTGTATGGCCAAATAAAAATAAAGATGCCGCCGCCAATATTGTAATAAAAAAATGTTGAAAACTTTTGGCACTTGGTTTTTTGTGACCTATTGGCATAGATATTTAACGTAAATGTGCGAAAATATCACGTCATTTTTGTATAGCTTAGGAATGTGCGTTTCGCATTTTACAACAAATTCAAGAACAACGGTCCATTACTTGAAGGCTGATGTTATAGATGAAATGTATTAATAAAATGATAACTAAAATTTAAACGAGCTACCTATACAAAAATTGAACTAAATACCATGAAGGGTTTGTTGTGTCGATGACGCGTGAGATAAATGGTCTGTTCCAGAACCTGCAAGAATTTACTAGTTTTGCAATTTTCTTGGGTATCATAAACGGAAAATAGGTTATCGTAGTAAAAACTTTTAGAGTCTTGCAGTTCTGGAACGCACCAAAAGTGAACATTAATACCATGATAAAAATAAGAACGTAAAGTCAATACAAATAGCATATCCATCTCTGTATTTTCTCTAATTTACCTTGTCAAATTTTACTGCAAAAAAAAACAGGTTCCCATGGTTGATTTGGGTGCATACAAAGCATTTTGGTGAGAATTTTCCAGAAAAAAAGTTATTCCTGATGGAATTCAAGCGTGATAGTTTGATGCCTCCATATTTGGCTGGAAAACCACAAGTGGCTATCATTAGAGCAACCCAGCATTTAAATCTTTTGTGTCTCGTAACATCGCCTGTTACTGTGATACTGGTAGCGTAGCCCGACGTCAAGGAAGTGAACGAAATAAAAGAGCAACATCGGCAGAAATGGTTCGAAAAGAAAAGAAGTGACTTAATCAAAACCCGCGTCGCTGTGGTCGAAAAATGGCTCGTGAGCTGAACATATCGCAATATTCCATTCGGCAAATATTGAAAAATGAGGTCGGATAAAGCCACCAGAGTTCAAGTGTCGACCATGGTGATGGTGTGGGTCGCTCTCCGCTCGTATTAATCGACCGTGACATCAGAATAAATGCCGAATATTATGGCGAAAATATTCTGGAGGGCTTTGGGAACGCAAACATTTTGGTCGCAGACCTTGGACATTCCAACAGGACTCAGCACCATTGCATTCAGCACGCGCAACCCAAGAATGGTAACAAAATGAGGTTCCTCGCTTCATTTCCAGCGCACACCAAAATCTCCGGATACCAATCCGTTTGACTATTGTATCTGGAGTATTTTGGAAAGCAAGTTTGGCACTTAAAAATACCAGTGTGTCAATCACGTCAAGCAAGAGCTTCGCTTGGAGTGGGCCAAAATACCGCAGAGCAACATTCGGGCAGCGTGTGACGGTTTCATTGGCCGTTTAAAGGCCATAATTCGTGCCAAAGGTGACTTATTCGAACAAATCTAAACATTTTTTGCTTTCATTCAATAAAATTAAAAAAATGTAAAAAATCTAAACATTTTTTGCTATCATTCAATAAAATTAAAAAAATGTAAAAAAAATGACGTTTGACCTTGTTGCAGTTTTTTTTTTTTTATCTCACCCTATACCTTCTTAATTCTACCATGATTAATGCTAACACTAAAGTAATAGGTGTTCATTTTTACTTTTCGTGCAGGAATTGTGCAGCAACTTCTTTCTGAGAGTTTAAGGTAGTTTTATTTATTTTTGCAAGAAAACTCTAAAAAGTGAACAGATGGAATCCCTGCAAAAATTGATTTTTAAAATAAAAATTGGCAATTGATTGAACTTTTCAAAACTTGCTGGTCATTTTCCGATTATTTTAGATCTCAAGGTATAGTCCAATAAAAAGCAGCAATTTTTTAATAATATATCGGTACATTTTTCCGCTTAAATTTTATACTTTTTTCTTACCTTAGAATGCAGGTTCTCAGCAAACCAAACCCCAACACTCTTTCTGACATATTATATGGCCCAAGCAATTCCATTTTTTGTTACAAATATTTCAAGGCGTTTTCCAATAAAAATAAATATTTATTCAGAACTATAATTTATTATAGCTAGTTGCTTTTTTCACTGTATTGTTATTGTATTTAATTTTTTTATTTTTAGTTTTTTTTTTCCAAAAAAGGGAATGCCTGGCAACGTAATCCAGCGTTTGTCAGCTATCACTACAATTGACTTGAAGAAATAACCTGTGCGCATGCGCCGCATTCCAAAGAAGAATACGAATTATTAATAATTTTAATCACGTTTCAATGCAAAAATAGCCAACACACAGACACACATACGTATCAATGATACGATTATTTTTATTTCAAATAAATATTTTTTTGCGCGCTTTGGCCCAGACACTTTTCGGAATTTTCAAATAAAGATGTTTAGATTTGTATTATAAAAATCTTTTGTTTTTTTTTTTTCTCTTCTTTAAATTGATTTAAAAAATTACACTTGTTTTTAACACATTCACTCAGTTTTGGCGATGTACATATAAACATACATTTCTATGTTTCGTTGTACATATGTCGATTTATTGCTGCGTATCATTTTTTTTTTAATTTCTAAATCGGTCGCTGTCTGTTTGAATTTAGGCCATTTTTATTTGCTTTGTCTTGTTGCCGTTTTTATGGTATTTTATATTCAATATTTGTGTTCGAAATTGTTGGCGAATTAATTGTGTAATATTTTTGAGGGGGGTTTTTTAACAACTCAATTTTTTTTCTTTTTCATTCGAATATCACATATTTTTTATTGGTTGCAAAGTTCTAATAGATTTGAAAATTCATCAAAAAAGTTCTACCGCACCAGGAGAGATTCATGTATTGAACTCAGCAAGCGTCCGAACACTAGCATATTTAAATTGGCTTTTCATAAAAACAATTAATTTTGTTTAAAAGTAAATATTTTTAATACTTCCACTTTCAGTTTGCTGACGTTGCTTCTTATTTTACATTTCAAAAAAAGAAAAAGAAATTTCAAATGATCTCAATTAATTAAAATGTTTTATTAATTTCAATGATACATATTTTTTAAAATTGATTAACTTTTATTATTCCAATTCAATAAATATGCAACGCTCAATATTTTATGTGTTCAATACATTTACTAAACTTCTACTTTTTCTGCCATACTCCTTCAATTCAATTTTAGAAAAAAGTAAAAACAATAAATTTTCCTTCTTTGCGATTTTTTTTCTTCGGAATTGAATTTGTGTTTTAAACCAACAACACCTGTTGCCAAGTAATTCGCCAAAAACATCAAACACAACATACGGTAAAGCAATAAAAATGCACCAAAAATCCATATAAACACTAAAGCACGCGTTCTCATATACGCAGCAACGCAACAACATACGCTTTACATTTTTTCAAAAACAAAAAAAAACGCTCTTTTTTATTGCAAAAACATACGAAAATAAATAAACAACAAATTCACGTCAAAAAAATATTTTTCAAACGTCAGAGCGCGACAGACATCATCGAACGTTTGTTATGCACTTTTCACACAAATTTTCCTTCGAAATGCATCTCATAGCTTGACTCAACACATAATACCACCACGCGACTAGATGCATTTACCGTTACTCACTGAAAGAGCGCACACAATAACCGTTTCCGTTTTCCTTGCGAAAGCACACAACCGTCTTGTTTTGAAGACAAAGCTAAACTGTTGGCTGTTTGCCGACAATTCGACAATTGAATTTTACCGACAAACAAACTAATGCAAAACACAGAGTTGCCAACTACCAAATATGTATTTTGACCTGAGGAGATATGATCATTAAATTATATAAATAAATAAATCTATTAAAAAAACAATTACATTGTTATTCCTATTACTAATTGTAATTCATTTAAAAACCTTAAAAAAAACATTTGTGTTCTACCCATAAAAACAAACATATATTCGCATAACTTAATGAAACTGCATTATCTACCCAAAAGATTGCATTGCCGACAATACAACATATCAAAGACTGTTTTATCATATAACAGCTACGGAATTTCATTTCGATAAATTTTTAGAAGTCATAATCGATTTATAGTCCTGTGATCCCTGAGCCGAAGAATGAATTGTTGGAAAAATGACAGCAAAATATTTTCAAAACCAATGACTGGAAGAAATTTAAATTGCGGGGCGCGCATTATTGATATTAACCAGATTTGCCACGGAATTGAAAGATTGAACATATTTTTGACAGAACATCCAGACATTTTATTCAGCTTTCGTTAAACGTTTTTACTAGGATAACCGATTTTCTCTTTAAGATATCGACGAAAATTTCAAAACTAGTAGATTCTTGCAAGTACTCGAACAGACCATTTATGTCTTTAGTCTGTAGGGCCATCGATATTCAATTACTTCAATTACTTTGCTTCACAGACGCTATCCTAATAGCTGCCAGTTCTTTCCTTAACGATAACACGATTGTATAACCCTAAATTTCATTTTCGATCTGCAAAACCCTATCCTATTCAGTGTTTTTGTTTTGATTTTCATCTTTCGCATTCATTTCGCTTTGATTCGTATGGCCACGGCGCCAATTTTCAAACGGTAGCTTTGTAATTCGGACAGACCCAGTCGGCCATTATGCTTCACACAGCATTGTTCTTCCCATTCTTATGTGCTTCCAAGTCAGATCTTCCAAAAGTCACGTGCAGTGGAGGTGGCAAACAATCGAATATTTTTTGAACACGTAAAAAAAAGTTAACGGCGTCAAAATGACTACCTAAAGCCGGCCTCGAGTTGAAGGAACTTACTCCCCCGGTTCATTTAATGAATGTGGCCAGCGGTTCGATTTCCTCATGTCTCATTCGTAAACAACAGAGGTCCCTCGGGGATTTTGCTTTCTCGTTCTTTTTTATCGGGCATTTCTTTTTGATTTCTTATTTGTTCCGTTGGGGACGTCTTTCATTTTGGTTTCCCACGCGCTCATTCGATTTGCTCTTCACAACCGAACAAAGCGCGCGCACAAGCAGATTGGTTTGGTTGGTTTTGTGAAATTGAATTGAATTGGAAGGAATTGGACAAATTGGACATTGGTTGGACCAACCTATATTGGAAAAGACACAGTGAGTATTTTGAGATTTTAGAAAGGACCTAAGGTATTTGACATCTAGCTTCTGGTAGAAGCTTCAATGTCAATGTTTCGGATTAGCGAATCGAACCATCTTACATGAACCTACAGTTAATGTATACTTCTAACTCTCAAGCTGGAAAAAAGGATCAGGGATCACGTACGTACAGGTACGTGAATCTATATTAACATTTTTGAAATGTATTTAGTCTTTACGTTAAAGACTAAACGACCAGCAAAGCTATGCTGCAATGGCGGTTTTTGCATTGGCAACATTGCCGTGGCATCTGTCCTTCAAGCTGACTTGAGTTATAGTAGTTATAGTAGTAACTAACATATTTTTTTTATTAAGGGTCCTTTCTCATAGAATGAGAATTTGTTTAAATAATTAATTTAATTAATTTAGCGTTCCCGCGCTATTTCGCCGGCCACGGCGTAGGTGTGGGCCGCCATAATAGCCTATGCTCGTCCCTCTCCGCTCGTATTAATCGATTGTGGCATAAGATTAAATGTCGATCATTATCGAAAAAATACTCTGGATGGTGTATTACAGCCTTCTAGGGATACCACATCCAAGACGTTGCTGCATAACAGGGTGCAAAAATTCGGAACCTGGAAAGGGTACTACTACTTTGCATGCTGTAAAAAAAGCATGGCAGCCAATTTTAAAGGACCTTTATGGAATGGCTTATATAAGCAATGGGTCCAAAATTTGTGAATTGCATTTTGAAGAAAAGATGTATACAAATATGACAGCATCCAAATGACTGTTATCAACAGCAGTACCCTGCATGAATTTTCCATCTCCACTTGCCTTCAACACCATTGATGTGGAGACGACAGATATGGAAATTGATGAATGTAAGTAGTCGTATTATTTCAAATCGGAATATATTTGTGATATCTATTCCATCGTAACAAAGAAGTTATGTCATATCAAGTTACGACTTTAATAAATAAGTATATAACTAATAAATACAATAATATAACTAATAAATACAATAACTTCAAAATATTCATTGAAACAGGTTTTAGGCTTTTTAGTCCATGTTCTTCGATATTTGCATTTAAAGTTATAAACACTGGATCACTGATAAGCGGAATGGAATCATTTCCAATCCGCTTGAGTGAAACAGGGTTTTAAAACCATCTACGCCCGTAATTGTCAATACGTAGCCTCATTATAAGGACGACTGACCTGACTGATCATCAAAGCCCAGGCGAAACGAATGAATTTAAATTAGGCTTTTGCGGCGGGCGTATAAACGGAAAAGGAAACTTTTAAACGCATCCATTAAGCACTATATTACTTTAATACTTTAATTTCATTAATGCTAAATTAAATTAACCCTTAACTACAGACGTAAAATTATACGAACTTTAGTACAGACCACCGATAATTTTTACCGGTAATATAAAATACATAAAATTTCTGTAAAACAATTGAAAAATCTGTTTAATATATATCTGTTATATATTTCTTGTATTTTAAGATCTTGATAAAGTCTTAAAACAATTTACTTTAATAAAACCGCACACGTTTTTTTAAAGCATATATTCAGTTATCCCCGAAATTGAAAAATTGTAAATGCTTAAGGGTTAATAGAAGCTAGAAAACGGTATGCGGTAATACTTTTGACTTCCATTAGATATGCTCGTTTTTTTGTTTTATAAAAATTCACGTCTGCGTGATGTGGAAAATTTGTCCTGATAAATTTCAACTATAAATCTAATCTAATAACAAATCAAATTTTTGCTGCTTGTGTGGTTTTATTGACCTTTGGACACACCTAACTTTTTTTTATTTTAAATAATTTAATGTTTCATAATCATCAGTCATTGAACTTAACAACAAATAACATGCATTTTAATATTTTAAAAACAATTAACAAATACAAATAATTAAAATAATTAAACTTATTATATACTTCGCTTTTATCAAATAACAAAACTAATTTCCAATGATATATAAATGGTAAAATTTGATGGCTGTCATTTGCAAATGTCTATCTCTGAATGTTTTGCAATTTAATTTGTCAAATTACTATCTCTGATTTCCGTATATAGAACGGATTTTGTAAATATGAGATGGTGTAAAAATGTATGATTGCACGACTTTGCCTTCTTGATTCTGCCATGGATATATATGTAAATTTCAATATTAATTAGGCAAAGGCTAATTCTAAATTGGTCTTTTTTTTCTAGATGTTTCCACAGGATTTAGTTACGGAGAGGCAAATGCAGGTTGTGTAAATAATAGCTTAAATGTACATAATTTTGAATATAATGTAGAACACATTTTTGAAAACAATTCAGAAGGAGGAAATATAATAGAAACCAATGGACAACGTCTAAGGGAAGAAATTAAAATGCTCAGAGCAGAGGTTTTATCCCTTAAAAATTAAAACTGCTCTCTTCAAGACAAAGTTCGTTCCCTCGAGCAAGAAAACGAAAGTCTTAAAGTCAAAGTGGTTGTTTCTGAAGAAAAAATTGGGGATCTTCAAAAAAAATTGATAGTCTACTTGGTGTTGGCATTTTCCCCAAAACAGATGCCAGTTATTCAAGCAAAGCATTTTCACGTGTTATTTGCAATTGCTCTACTTCTCTAAACACCGCTGAGGAAATTGCGACTTTGCAACATATGTGTCTCTTTTCAAAGAGCCATTACAAATACATGATAAATGTATTAAAATTTAACCTACCCAGACCGGATTATGTTTTTAGTTGTCAACCTAAACCTCTGGCAATAGGATTCGACAACAACGTAATCGGTGTCTTGCGCAATATTTTCACTAATATGACGGAAGAGCAACGTCATTGCGCATTGCAATTTGACCAGCTTAAAGTTACAGACACTGGTGATAATAACACCCCTACATATGCCTTAGGACTGCAGTTAGTAGGCTTGGATAGCGATTGGAGGTTGCTTGTAGGATTCGTTCTTACAAGGGAGTACAATACATTATTATTAGAATCAATTCTTTTAATGGTATTCCAGAAACTGCAGCCATTGGAATTGAATATAATACTCTGCATTTGCGACAGACATCCCGTCCAGTATAAATTTGTTGAGCAATATCGTGGCTCGAATGTTGCGATTATTCCTTTCCCTCCAAACGCCGAAGACGGTACGCGTTGTATATTCGACATTCCCCACATGCTTATTTCTTTAGCTAGTAACTTTTTTGAACATTCTGTATATATAAAAAGCATGCTGAAAAAAAACAGGACGTCGCATCTCCTGATTTTTTGTTACACATTTTCAATTTAGATTCCGAAGTAGATTATAGTGATAAATTCAGTCCATAATTGCGAAAAACCATCTTTCGTTCCAGTTATATAAAGACGTATAACTTCGAGCACGATCCTATGGAGAGAATTGCGGCACTTTTTCACCAAAATGTGCTTCATGCTCTCGATGTAATTGATTTTTCCGAAGATAAACAATAGTTAATAAAGCCGTTGATTTTTTACAACATGTGGAATGCGGTAACATTCCACAAGTACTCCAAATTAGTTTATTAACATTGTCTTCTCTCTTTATGGATTATCAAAATTTAATAGTTAAAAATTGTATGAATGAATCCCTCGAAAGTGATTTCGTTGAGATTAGAAAGCGTTGTGGTAGAAGACCTACTTTTCTGGAACTAGTCAATGTTAAGGCAAGATCCGATTATATTATTACACTAACCAGATCTCTTGATCGCACATTATTTTGGGCCGAAAAGTGTTTTCAATTACAACCTTCTGATAGCAATCGAAATTAATAGATATTTATTTCATCAAGTCAAGCTTTTGTCGATTTAATGATGTCTACTATACAACGCGGAATTTCTGCAGCTCCCAAATGTCTGCATTAATGCTGGATATAGTTTTTTTCACAATATCTTCTTCTGTATTGTTTGTGTTGAATTGTATTGTAGTACTGTAGTTGTTGTTTGTAGTTTGTTGTTTTTGTAGTACTGTAGTTGAATTAGTTGTTTGTTTTATTTATTATTTGTTTGTTTTATATATTATTAACTTTTTATTTTTAGTTTTAGATGGGGTTATATGGGAAAGTGATGCGATTACATAGCCTCTCCTTTCCAAGTGTCAACCTCGCCCACTCATGGTGGCCCCTGTTATCGCAAAAGAGGCACTGGCGAAAACGTTAATTCACAATGGCATGCAGTTTATAAACAAATACCAAATACCATCGTATCGTACCAGAAAGCAAATTCCCAATCATGGCCCAAGTATAAGGTCCCCCTTCCAGGCCAGCTGACTACCAATGCAGGATATATGCAAAATCCCGAGACGACGATTTCTGATTACATTACAATGGGTCAGGACTGGCAGCATGACTTCATTAAAATAAAAAATCGCGGAGCGAATTAATCTAAAAACAGCTGTTATTTTACCAGATCAAATGTCAAAATTCATGCTTGAGGCGAAAAAAAATATTTTCGCCTTGACAGAAGAATTTTGTGGCGAATATGTTTCTTGTCATTTTTTGTATGTATAACACATGGTAGAAAAATACAGGTAGACGCATCGACGCAGCTGCTGGGACAATGAACCGTCAAACCGATTTTGAAATTAAAAATGTTAAACGAAAAATTGTTGATATTTGTAAAAATTGCATGCCATAACAACCTCCAGTTTGCGTCGTATTAGAAAACGTAAAAAAATCTACTTATTTTTGACAAAACATTTTAACAATTTTGACATATCAATGTTCCCAAACAAGCAATCAATTTGTCATCTGTCATCATGTGTAATAAATAATAAGTCGAGCCCAAAAGCACAGACAAAATAGATGCATATGTATTTTGTTATGCGCTTGGAAAAGATTTTTCTTTGGTGAACAATAAACTCAATAGCTCAGATTGGGAAAATAAAAGAATAAAAAAGATTGGAATTATATACAAAAATAGCTATATTATCAGTGTGTGTTCAATACGTTTGTGATTTTTGAAATAAAATAAAAAAGAATTTACCAAAACAGAATTAATAGAAATGACATTATTGCAAAAACTGAAAGATCAAGGCTGGTGGGTGTATTGAGATGTCATTCCAGCAAAAATAGCAATAAAATGAATGTGCCATTTCTTTTCAGGTACTTGACACAGGAAGGCCTAAAAAAGCTGACCACTGATGTACAAACGGAAGATGTGCAGAAAATTATTAAGGCTGCCTTGGATGTAAGTTAACCTGAATTAGTTGTTTGTTAAAAATCAATAGTACATTCTCTTAATTAACTCTCATTCATTCAGTGGGATCTCAAGGAGATTGGCGGAGGTGCCATACCCACCAAACCGGAAAGCAATGGCAACATTCCGGGACGTATTGTCTTGCAAATGCAAAAAATGCGCAACATATCGGCGCCAAAGGCAAATGAAGAGTCCACGGCGGCACCTAGATTTTTGCAACTGGAATTGACGGATGGCACCAACTCAATTTTAGCCCTGGAATTGGAGCGCATACCAAATCTAAACTTAAAGATACCACCTGGAACCAAACTCTACTTCAAGGCTGAAAAACTACAATTAATGCAAGGGCTGTTAGTGCTTAAGGAAGCCGAGGTGCAAATACTCGGCGGCAATGTGGAGCATATGGTGGAAAAGTGGGAGATAGCCCGGCAAATGCAAAAATATGCTCGCAGTAATCGTAGGTTATCGGGATCGGGTGGACCACCACCATGGATAGATTTTGGCAAACGTTTGGATGCCCATCGAGATGCACTGCCGCAGGATAGAAACTTCAAGAGCTTGCAAGCTGCCAATGAAAAGGACAAAAATTCCAAAGAAAACGATGAATTCACTGCTTCACGTACTCAGGCAATTGCAGAGGCTGCCAAAGCTGGTCAAAAGAAAGTTTTCGGTGGTGGCCAACAAAATATTCTCGATCACAACGTTAAAAAGATACTGGAAAAGGGCTATTCGGAGGAGGATGCTAAATATGCCCTCAAAGCAACCAACAATAATCTCGAGAGAGCTTTATACAACCTCAAAAGACGAAATAAAGGGGCAACTGAAAGTACCACTAAAGCGGCAACAACTACAGTTGGCAATCAACGTGGCCGGGGATCGGCCAAGGATGAAATTGCTCCCGCATCCAAGCCTCAAACTAATGTTTCGCTATTTGACTTCTTAACAGACAAATTGCCAGCGGTAAGCAAAAATTTGAGATAAGGAGGCATTAAAAATGTTTAATTACTTCATTTCTTCTTTTGCAGACGGTAACTACTGAAGCACCACCACCTCAAGCAGCCAGCAACAGTTCACAGAATAACAGAAATCCCAAGGAGCTTAATAAAGGCAAAAGCAACGATAGCAACGCAAAGCCACAATCGAACACTTCGGGTAACAAGTTTGAAAATAATATGTCCTCAAGTTTTGCGGCCAACAGAATTAAACCCGAAGAAAAGTTCACACCGTCTCAAAACCAACAGTCCCAGCGTTCAAACTATAATCAAAGGGACGAACGCAGATCCAACCCACCTAATAAACAAGGAAACCGAGGTAATGAGCGAGGTGGCCGTAGCAATGTTCAAAATAATGAAAGAACTTCGAACAGTCAGTCGGCACCGAGTAATGAAATGAAAGCTCCACCACCATCAAATAATGTTAACAGCAGTACCAGCACCAGCAACGGCAACGGCAATACCAACAACAACAACAATGCATCTCAAAATACAAACTATCGTACCAACTCAAGTAGAAGAAATGATCGAAATGAAAGACCACCAGCGCCACGCAAGGATCAAAGAGATCAAACAGCAAGACCAACTGGAAACTCTGGAGGCAACTACCAAGGCAATAGACGTAGCCAGGAATATAGGACAAATGATAGCAGGCCTTATCAGCAACGTGATAACAATAACCGCAATACAAGCGAAAGCAAGAGCGCCAGCAATTACCAATCAAATCAGCAGAACCAACCTCCCAAGACCAGCAATGCGGACGTTGATAAACTGGTAGAAAGTACTGCAAAGTTAACAATACAAAACAAGAAAGAAACTTCTTACAACAGTTCGCAAAACCGCGGAGGAAGACATCAGTATGCGTCTACAAGATCAACAAATGTCTCATCCAACAGTTCACAATCAAAATCCGGTGGTGGTAATCAAGGACAGCAGGGGGGTGCACAGTTTATTGGTTCTCTAAATTTCACCAACAAGATTACCCAAAACTCATCGCCACAAGTGGCGGCTAATCAACAACACCAGCCTCAACCACAACCAAGTTATGTCTCGCAGTTGCCCAATGGATTTGCATATGACCCGAGTAAGATTATGGGTTTTCAATCTAAGGAGGCCAATGAATATGCCATGAATCTGTTGAAGAGCCAGGGACTGTTGCCCCAGCAATCTCCCGTTGCCGGACCACAAGCTGCAGCCCAGGCAACGCAAGTGCCACCACCCACTCAACCACAACTTCTTGCCAATCCACAGGCAGCGCCCGCAGTAACTTATATGACACCAAGTCCCAACAGTGGTTTTGTGGCAGCACCACCACCACCACAACAAGGTCCCATACCTCAGTATGGAATGCTGCCGCAGGGTGGCGGCTGGAACTGGAACGTTGGTGATTTATGTCTGGCCAAATACTGGGAAGATGGAAATGTAAGTTGTGGTGTCTTTAGAGCCTAGTATGTGTTCCTTCATTTAATTTTCTCTTTTTGGTTTCAGTACTACGATGCCAAGATTACAGCAGTTTCAGAAAACACGTGTGTTGTATTTTTTCTGGGCTATGGTAACCACGAAGAAGTTGTTAAAACCGATTGTTTGCCATTGGGAGACGAATCACACTATCCGATCAATGCCTTTCAAGGTGGACCTCCGCCAACAGCAGTTCATGCTCCCATGCAACAAATTCCAGCAACATTTTTGGCAGCCAACAGTGCTGCTGGCAATGGTGGCATTGGCGGTGGTGGTGGTAATCAACGTTATCGTGGAGAACGTCAAATGTACGTTCCACCGCCGAAACGAGGCGCCAACAACAATTGACATTTAATGTCAAGCCATGTCCACCCTTCTTCGGTACCAGCTAATCCCACACAAACTCAATATCATCCAAATACTCAACAACAGCAGCAACACCTTCAGCCAAATCAACCGCCATATTTCTACAGTTTGAAGTGAAGTGTGTTTTCGATTCGGCAACAACAGCAGCATTAATTAAGCATGAAAGAAAATGCATTGTAGCATTTAAGGTTTTCTTTAACAATAACAACAACAGTATAAAGTTAGATTTTTACATTACAACAACTTAAGTAGAAAATATATGAATGAGAATCATCAGAAGTTTATAACAATTTTAAGACGATAAACAAGAACATAAACAAAAAACAACAGCAACCAAAAACAAAAATATTATATGGAAATGATATTGAATATTTGTAAATGTTTAAAAGAACAATAAAAACAAACTAAATAGAAATTTGTCTTGAAAAACAATGGCGTTTTTTATTTATTTGCGGCTTAAATGCCATAACGGATTTTAAACTTACCATGACCGACGTTACGTGACGACTAACTGTTCCACCTCCACATATGGGTTGATGGTTATGCTATGCTATTTCGTTCAAGTCCGGTTGTAAGATTTAGAATGTTTTCCAAAAGAATTTTGGTGTCATTTAATTCTTTGGTTCCTCTTCTATTGAGTTTACGATCTTGTCCCTTGGGTAAAAATAGATTTTTTTTGTCAAAGGAGTTATTTGAAAATAACTCCTGGGGAAATATCGCAGACAAAAAGCAAGAGAAATGATGAGGATTGGTGGCTCTTTCGGAAACCTAGATATTCCCTGCCTTACCCTCTGGTAAACATTACCATCTTTCTCCACTAATAAATAAATGATGTTTTTATAAAAAAAACGTAAATATGGAATTACGCCTAACTATTTTGTAACAACAAAAATGATCCCTACTTTACTTTTTAATTAATTAAATTCTGTAGTATTTTGTTGTTGCAAAATTGTTAATTCTGATATTTTCACAGTTAATTGTGCCGCAAGCTGAATCATGCGACTGCCTGTATTATTGTGTAATGGATGACAGCTGCTTTCATATAACGATTTTTCAGTGAGGTAGTACTGGAAACAACCCAATCATTCTATTTCACTCTAGAAGAGAGCGAGAGAAATTTCTCAAAAAAAAAACACAATCAGGTAGGTTGGCGTTTTGCGTTTGGATTGTTAATAAATTAATATTTTTAATAAATTAATAATGTTTTAGTTATTTTAACTTTTGAGTAAATGGGATTATTTTGTTCTGAGCAGAATTGAATACAAGATAATTAGTTTTTCAAATTCATTTCGATCATTATTTATTTCAAAACTCTCCCTTCCTTTATTGTGTTCATCTCATAAGCTGAGCGCAACATGTCGCGAGAGAAAACGCCGAGAGACCGAAATCTAATAAATAGGACAGAAACGCCAGCAAAAAATTCAATAACAAATACTCATCGACTGTGTTCGTTCGTATTGTGGCGGCTGTTGAAAAAACCAAATAATAAAATTAACAAAAATAAAAAACTGTTGTGGAAAGCAAAAAGTATTAACTGTGTAAAAAAATACCTCTGTGCAAGAAAACAAAAACAAATCACAATTTGTGTTGTAAACGTGTTTGTTTGACGCGACTTTTCTAAGTTGAAAGTTAAGAAAAATTATTGAAAATATAAAAACAACAACGAAACGAAAGTGAAAAACTGCACAAAAGGGCAAAACAAGTTTATTTTGGCCGATAGAAATATTCAGCCAAAGTAGCAACGAACTTTTGTCAAAGGAAACGCGAAAAAATTCGCGTTTTTACAACAGCTAGTAACAAAAAGCCTGCTGGACTTTGCATCAGAGAGAAAATATTTGTTTATTTTTTTGTGCCAACACCAACAAAATAAAATAAAAAACATCACGTTGCAGCGCCGTACGTAGTGGTCATCTTCGCCAGTCATCATCATCATCAGTGTCAATTGTTTAATTTGTGGTGGTCATTTTTTATTCTGCCCACAATTTTCAAACAAACAAAGGCGGTCAAAGCATCGTCATCGCTCGCTGTTTTGTAGAGAGTGCTGCTACTGCAAAAAAATAAATAGCATTCAGTTCTGCTGCCCTGCCTTATTATCTTGGTTGTGTTGATTGGGAATCAGCAACGGAAATTTCTTTTTGATTGATTTCGTTGGACTTATTTGTATTATGAATCTATCATTTGCTGGCTGTGGATTTTTGGGTATCTATCATGTTGGCGTGGCCGTGTGTTTCAAAAAGTATGCCCCTCATTTGCTGTTGGAAAAGATCGGTGGCGCCTCTGCTGGTGCTTTGGCGGCCTGTTGTCTTTTGTGCGATTTGCCTCTAGGTAAGTGACCCATATTCCTTAGGTCAATGTCTGTCATATTTCACAGACAGTGATATGAGCTATGGCAATGTCTTTATTTTTAAGAATGATCTAAGTATAGAATAAGCTTTGTTTTCTGAGTATATTCTAATTTGTATGAGTTTCTGGGATAACCACCTGAACACTTGTTAAATTTATTGTATATAAACTGGGGCGAGCACACATTTTTTATTGAATCAATAATATGCCATCAGTTAAAATCCAGCAAAGATTTATTGGCGTTTCTGATTATAATAAATATATACTGCCAGGTGCCCTGATAACACTGCCACCATCTAAAAGAGGAAAAAAGAATGGCACGCATTTATAACTTATTTAGAATTAGAACACCAGCAAAGCTGATTCAAAGTTCCTCCCAATAACGAAAACATGAATGACAACGTAGTTGGTTCGCAGAGGTACCTACCACATATACAATTAACAAAACAAACATTAAATTTTTGGGGGCTTGTCAGCGTCACCATTGGCAGCAACAACAACACTATGCCATATACATAAAACGCTTATCGTCCAACTGAACCAAACGACGTCAACGCCAGCAGTATTTATTTTCTTAAAACGCAGTAGTTTTTGCTATATAGCTATGGCACGCTCTCTTGAAGCGTTTGGGGAATTATTTGAGGAATTAATCTTGCTGACATTTATCTTTGCCTTGTTATACAGCCCAACAAATTGGAGGGTCTCTCGTCTGCTCCAATAGAAATTTAATGCCACACCATAGAGGCAAAGGCATGGCATAGCTGAGTATTGTGCGTGGCGGTCACAAGAAATCGTTGAAAACAAACAACAATGGGCAAATAAATAATAGATTCTATTTATAGAAATTACGAAATTTTACAAAAATGTTTACATTGCATTGTTTTCGTAGGAGAGATATGAAAATCTGGGAAATGTGGGCATTTCTGTCACTGTCTCATTTTATTCTGAATAGGAAAGTGGGTTGGAAGTGGGTTTAAAAGAATTTCGGTACTTTTTAAAGTCTTTGGGTCATAGACAAAGTGAAAGTTTGGAAGCTGTAGATAAAAGCCAATAGTTATTTAGGCCAAAAGAAAATATATTAACGGCATAGGTAAAATATAATTTATTCCAGGCAAAGATCTTAGCAAACCAATCTCTGTATTTCGTTTCAATTTGTTACCTAATCGCCTAATAAATTTATCTTTTATTTATTAACAAGATATAAAAAGTACAAAGTATTATTAAACAAAAAAGTTGATAAGACTTTAAGATCATAATTTTATTTGTATTTAGGTACAGGTTACGCTTATAACAATTACGAGATAGTATTTGCTGTTAATATGAATCTTCAGTTCTATACTATAAAAGATGTTAATGTTTGATACGCAATTTAATGACCTTTTAATTCATACAATATAGTTTTATAAACACGATGTGGAATTGAAAGAGCAGGAGAGATCATACAACACGCTTTGATAATGATTGTAAACAACGTATGACTGGTTTTTCTTCTTATTGGAACTGATCAATACTATTGAGAATCTCTTGAAAAAATATCAATGGACCTCATTGTAAACATACCGAACTGCATATTGATTACAGAAATGCAAAGGAAACATGTTGATAATTTAATATAGTTGTGGAGGTTTTCATGTAAAACCGACTTTTCTTTTTGAACTGGTAATATGTTCTAACTTTATTATTCTTTTCACAATATAAAGAATTGCATTTAGTGGACATCAAGGTATTTGTCCATCACTCCCTGGAAACCGATACTATTGTAGTTTATGCATTTTTCTCTTTAATCGACTTCACTTGAAGCTTTTCCACACTTTCCTAGCTACTAATTTATGATACTAGTCCAACAAGTGTTTGTATCCATGTCATGAAATATGCGTTCATGTGTGTGGCATCCATTGTATTTGCTGATGCACAATGCAATTTCCCAACAGCACAACGCATCCAGATAGCAACCATGACGCTTTGTTATGACTTATTTCCTTAATACGTAACATGGTCACGTTTAACGGTGTGCATTTTTATGTTCTCGTTGCCAGTTTTTTAGCGGTAAACAATTTGCCAATTGTGAGCTATTGTAATAGACAAGTGGTCTCGAGGAGATTACCCTGCCTATTTATAAATTCGACATCACTTAGAACGATGGTCAAGCTACTTACAAAATTCGGTCATAATAGCAGATCATAAAGCTCATTAATCATTATAAGCTATATAAATCATGATTATGCAATCATTAATTGATATATTGTAGCTATTTAACTAATCTATTTTAAAACTTAAAATTTTCAATCGATGCAAATTTAAAGTTAGGTTTTTCTCCTAGTCTTGAAATAAAACGGATCATAGAAAGTATCGTTATCATAATGGGCACCTAGCGAAATAATTACAGCCTATGGCAAAGAGCCAAGAGACTACAGCCTTTTTTAAAAATTATGCATTAATATAGTTTTACTAAATCTATACAATTGGTGGAATTTTACATAGTTATACCACCACCCTAATTTGTTTGGATCATTAGCTTGATTACTGTAAATATTCCCTTGTAGCATTGTGTTATCTGTTTCTTATTTTATGACATATTCTCATTGTCAATTTTAAATTTCGTTGATTGCCTTGCAACAGAGCAAAGGTTTATAGATTGTTTATGCTTTTGTTTTCATCAGTTTTACATGCGTCACAATTTTCAATAAAAAAATGCACTTGTATTGGTTTTCAATATTTATATCAATGACTTCTTCAATGTTTAACCAAATGAAAAAAAGGTTTAGAACTACAAAAGTAATTGTAGGTTCTACCTGGCGTGATAGTTGTCTTTGCAGCCGTAATATAATTTACTGTGTGTCATTAATTCATTAAAAATGATATCGGGTTTTGCCCCTACCAACAATTGGCCCATAAATTATCATCCGATTCTCTGGGAAACAACAAAGCAGCTGGTGGCACAAAATTTCCCTACCGCACAACAAAAAAATTACATATGTCCTACACATATACAAAACTAGATCATCATTTATAACAGCCCACCATATTCAATTGGCACAAAGAAAGCGTGCGATAAGCATATTTCACCCCCACCCCCTCCCACATTATTGTTGTCCATTATTCGATTTCACAAATTGATAAGTTTGAAATGAAACAAAGCCAGAAATAAAGAATATCATATTGAAAATGAACTTTTTTTATTGCAGGTGTAGTACCTAGTTCTAAAGTCCAATAAACGCAGAGCATGACACACTTCTTAAATTAATATTTTAATGCCATGAGAATGATAATTATACTTAGCACACAGACAACAATGGCTGGCTACAAGAAAAGTAAATGACCTACGTTTTTTTGGGAGACTCCCCAATCATTCGCAATGTCACGTTCTATATCGAATATCGAATCTTCTTGTAAACTAAAATTCTTACATTTCTAAAATCCCATAATTCATGTGCTTTCATTTGCTTTTGTGCAATATTCATTGAAATTTAATTTGTCTGAATCATTCATTGCTTGCTATGTGCATGTAGCGATGAGAGCTAATCATTTATTCGTTCCCTTGTTCGTTTGAAAAAATCTTGAGATTGTTTTTGCAAAAAAAAAAAAATGAAATGAAAAGAATGAGTTCATATTCTAACATCTGTTGCCTCAAATTGATAGTACGCTTTGCTAGTGGTATTAGTAGGTTATAATTGATAACACGAGACCTCATATGTCCAACAAATCATTAGCATCATCATCGCCATCATTGTCAGCCAGCCATTGTAGTGCTTTCATTTTATGATGCTTACGCATTATTATTATTTTTTTGCTATATTCTAATCATTAGTCTTGACTTAAGTAAGCCATAATCACATGCATCTTTTTTTTTTAGAAGTATTGTATAATGAAGGCGTAATAAATCAAAGAAACAGAATTTATGAAATGCTTGAGAAGTGTATCCCACAAAGATATTATTGTCTTTGGATATATAAATGTTGAGTATTTTCTTCAACTTTTTGATTTGATGCGGGCCAGAGTTGGGCATAATTTTGTATGAAACCGAAATTAATTGAATAGTGTTTGGCTTGGGAATGCATGAATATAGAAATTTGACCTGATTTCAAGGGAAACTTTCCAGTTCACTGTGATCTTTCTGTAGATGAAATACCTATGCTGAAATAAACTTTCGAAAATTGATGAAAGAATCAGGGAACTCAAAGTGTATTCTTGTCGCCGACGATGTGTGGCTCCAATGTTTGCAAAAAAACTGAATCGAATTGAAATTTGAGACTAAGTCTTTGTCTATATGCCTGTATTACAACATAGCATATAGCACCTTCAAATTACAGAATATTCAAAACAGAGAACTCATAGTGTACTGTGTGGCCCCAGTGTTTGCAAAAACAGCTGAATCAAAATTAAGATTTGAAACTTGGTCTTTATCTAGATGCCTGCATTACAACTTAGCATAAATTATAGCACCTTGAAATTACAGAATATTCAATTGTTTGAAATTTTATTTAAATTAAATATATTTTTCATTTCGTTTTTCTTTTTTTTACTTAGAATATAACGTATAAATAAAACATAAATTGGCGTAAATACAAAACAAAAAAAAAAACTATTTCCTTTTGCATTCATTCGTCACTCGTGTGGCAAATCTTTTGTTGAGGAACAGTGATTACAAAAGTAGGGAATATTTTTTGTCTTAAATGAATGGCATAGAACCAATGTTGCTCAAAGAGCATGTATGAATTAGCCTTGCAATAAAATGTCGATGCATTAAAGAATAATAACAACAACATGAAATCAATTGGAAAATACATTAAAATATTTTGATGGAGTTGCAAAAAAAAAAAAAAAACATTAGAGGTACATAATATAGTTAATCTTACAGATAGCCTCAGGGGTTTTGACGTCAATTTTGACTTTCATTCAAATTTCCTTGTACTGATAAGGCGGCTGCTTGCTTGCCTTTTAGAACAATAGTTTTTGTGCAAAACCCACTTTTTTCTATTTACGTACCACACACCACCTATGTCGTATATAAACAGCGCGCGTGTATGCCTATTGGGTCGGTCTTATCAGTTTCCTTACTTTACGTTATGTTCATTTCATTGTTATAAAATTGAAAAAAATGTACACATATATATTACTTTTTTCTATGACTTTGCACATAATGCGTTTTAGGAAGGGGGCAAATAATTATGCTAGCGATTCAAAATTAAAGGAAGTAGGAATCAAATAAGTGTGGGCATTAGTATTATTATTATTTGTATTGGTGAAATGCAAAAGTTCGGAATATCCCCCTAGGTCTGAAAATGTTATTCATTTATTGTTATATATGTTGTAAAGATTAGTTTCTGACGGCGAAAATTTTAATAATAGACCTCCACTTTCATATCTACTTGACTTTGAACTATTTTATGATGGGGCATGGTATGGGGGTTTTGCCATTCTAGTCACGTTGTCTTTAAAAGAGTTATAGTTCCATATCAACTTTAGAAAGAAAGAGGATGATCCCAACAAAATGTTTAATATCATGAGTACAAGTGATTCCAGACTTTAATATTTTTAATATAAGAAGTCATGTTTTCTACAAGGGCGGGGTGCGACTAAGAAATAATCTCTGACATTTCAATTTCTCTTTTAATGCCATTTTGAACTAATTCAATTTAAATTTAAATAAAATCTATTGGTTAATAAATAAAAGCACCCATCGACGTAGCCCAAAGTGCGATTTTTAAGCAACATTTTCTAAAAAATTATCTTTTTATTTACCATTTTGGATGTGGCCCGGACACCCTATGTTTCGAAGGTGACCTAATCGGAATAAAATTAAAGATGCATACCTTTCGATTCTATTGAATTTTATTGAAATCCAATATATTTTTATTCATTTTCTAAATCTTAATTACATTCATGCCTTCTTCTCCCGCGACCCTTTCCCCTTAATATAAACAAATTATAAACGTAGAAGGAAAAAGTAAAATTTCATAAAAACAACAATTCACATTGATTTGTTTACTTTGGAACAGGCTGTTAATTTGTTGGGTTTCTATTTAATTTCATAAAACAAACTGACTAGAATACAACCAGCTGGTGGAGCGACCGGAAAGAAATGCATTTCTTTGGTTTCTCTCCGTTTTTTTTTTTTTTTTTCAAATTTCATTGATAACATAATAGCAACACCGCCACCACCAGACAAAGAATGCTACGTCAGCCGTCGACAATTTGTAAATGTTTGCCTATTTCGTATTTGGTATTGTTGTTGTTGTTGCTGTAAGAGGAACTCCAACCATATCCATTATAGAGTAGAGACACAAAATCATACGATTTGATTTCTTCATTCGGGTTGTTTTATTGGCATTGGACTGGGAAGTGTTTGTTGCCTTGCACCGCCACCAAACGTGAGCAGTGAGAGTGGAGTGGTTATTGTTACGACTTGTTATTTGGTGCGTACGTATGCCTGTGTATACGTACCCACCCGATTACAGAGTGTGTATTACTCCATAAGTAATGCGTTTGTTTCTGCATGCACTTCGATGGTGTCATCAGCTGCATACCAAAGAGCAACACTCTCCAAGCAAGCGTATGTGGGAAATGTGTACTTGTTTCGTATTTTCTTTTTTGAAGGAAAGTTGTGTTGGCCTTAAAAAGTGAGGAATGCCGGAGTCATCAGGCCATTTTCATGTTGCCATATCATCATCCATCCACCGTTGAACCGGTATTTCATTATTTACCAAACATTACAAAAGGGGGTGTGTCTCTCTCTCTCCGAGAGTGTTTTCCTCTTCCCCAGCCACCTCGTATTATATGGAAAGCCTCAGTAGCATTAGCAGCAGAATAAAGTGTTTGTTGCTGAAGGTTGTTGACCGTGAGCAGGGTGAGAGAAACACGATTATTTTTTTCGGATTTTTCTAGACGACCTACATTTACAAAATACCAGACAACCGAATGTTCCAGAATATTTACAATCCATAGCTAGATAAAAATTCATAGGAATGCCTGAAGATGGGGTGGCAGACTATTTATGTATGTTGTTGTTGTCTTGCGTGTTTGTGCAGCTGGCCTTTATGCATTTATGGCCATCAGATGAACGTTTTTCTTGTAAACATTTTTTTTACCTGCCCATGGTAGCTTCATTTACACCTTTCTGTGGGTTATGGCCTTGACAAAGAATTAGAAATTACTGGCTTTAAAATAATTCTCTTTTTGAAACTCTCTAGAATTATAGGGATTAGCTGAGACAAAAGAAAAAAAGTATGTAGTTGGACATTTTAATAGGAAATCGGTAATTTGGTAATACTTTAATTACTCTGTGATTAGAAGGCAAAGGAAGTGGAAAATTATAACTTTTTGGGAACAATTTTTTTCAATTTGGACCCTTTTATAGGTATAGGCCGAATAAAAAGAATCCTGTTATTAAGAAAATGTTTTGATATAAACCCATCCAAACTTTAACTGCTTCAAGCCAATTGAAATACTTTGGAAACACTTGAAAATGCCTGCAAACGCCAGTCTCCTCAATCGAAATTCGAATACGCAAATGTTTACAAATCAAGCCAAGACGAAAACAACTCGAGTTGTGAAATATTACACCAATAACAAAAACATATAAGTGAACGGTGGCCAGTCGCTTATGTTGTGGTTTCAGAATTTTCCAATTTCCTTGAGGGGTTTTTTTACACATGCACATACTACATATGTGACACATGTGTTTTGCATTACCTACATGCTTAGATATGTTTGCAAAAGCACGTGACATTTGTTTTTCTGTTCCAAGAGTGTGCATTGGCAACCACATTTTCAAGATCACCTGTTCCCTTTGATCGTTACTACAAAGTTACTTTAGTTTTTTCCATTCACTGCCAATATGTACGCAGGGCTGGGCGGGCGTATGTTATCTCTATCTCAATATTTTGTGTAAACTGATCACGCCATACTCTTCTCAGCGGTTTGATGTAATGTATGTATGTTCCCATGTATATGTGTATGCATGTGGGTAATGCGGTTTCCATTATAAGAAACGTTCAGAGAGAGTGCGATCCACATACCTCCTGATAATAAACAAACAAAACTGGCAACTGGCTGTTTGGCCTCTATTTTTATGGAGGCTCGTCACTGTTATACGTGTTTTGTTGTTTTTTGTAAACATATATTTTGAGCGTGTGTGAGTGTGTTGTAACCGTCAAATCTAGAGTGTGGGCGCCCCTGAATGGTCTTATGTTTTGCACCCGTCCCTATTTTTAGTAGTTTTCCATTCGTTCTTTAATGTAAACAAAAATTACGAAATTGTACGACGGCACATGTTCAAAATTTTACTTTTTTCGAAAACAACAAAAACTGGCCTACCAAATCTGGAATGTGATTTGTAGGAAAACTAAGAAGTTGAAGGTCGGTCGGTCGGTTGTTTGGTATCTTTATCTATCAGACATGTCTCCCCTACCCCTGTCCATTTTCCGTACAGAAACATTGAAATGAGGCAATGTAGAGGGCCCACAAATATGCCCAACATATAGGAAATGGGTGTGTTAGTCAGTGGACGATTTATAAAAATAGAATAATCTGGCGGCGATCGCTTGTTGTAATTGTGTCGTAAATATGAAAAACAAAAATTGTTGTTGACAAGAAATTAGAAACTGACTGGGCGGATAGCTGATAGACTCGTTGTGTGCATTCGTTCCATTGAAAAACAACACCAAGATTGTTTACACTTTAGCAAAATGTGAAGGCATGTAAATATTTTGTCATAGCTAGAACCAAAACAACAACAATAATATTTACTGGTTTGTTAAACAACAATAACAACAGCAAATAGTTAAATTAAAGTAGGAAGAGTAATGCGATTCACACTATTCACATACTATTATCTAATTCTTAGAAATTCATTTCTACGCACTTTCTTCCAGTGCACGAATCTTATCATTTGCGATGTTTGCCCTCTATTTGTGAACTAGTTTGCAAAACAATTTATAAATGAAGGTCAATTGCCAAAAAATAATCATTTTGGTGGCCCCCCACTAACCAAAAAAAATATCAATTGATTATTAAATAAAAATAACTATAGAACAAAATGCATGGTTATTTTATTATATAACACGATCGATAATAGGTGTAGTTTAATTGAGGTTATGCCTAGGTTTGCTAATCAAACTTTTGATTTGCTATCTGGAAGTGGGTACTCATCGCCTTTTGCACATTGGTTTTGTTATGAGGTAGCTGCCATTTCAATGCCTTGAGGGTACATATGACCCAAGAAATTATCTGAAATTAATAGCAAACTTACTCCTCTATGGTATCAGATATATGTATAAATTAACTCCAAACTATTAGAATTTCATTTGGGATTTTGTAAAACCACCCCGTCTATGGGCATTAATTTCCCATTAAGGGCTTTCCACGAGCAAGCTTATCTCCTGATTGCTTATATTTTTTTCATTTCACAGTATTGGCAAATATAAAATGAATTAACAGAATAAATTGACGTCATCTTCTCGTCACCACCAGACATTACTAATCTCTGAACAACAATAATACTCAGCAAAAATTAGAAAATCATCTGATGTCCACAGCAACTAGATTTAGCAGATTACCTATAAAATAGCCTTTCGTAATAATTGTTATCTCAAAAGCTATTTTCTCAATTGTTTTTTTCGTGTACTTTTTTGCAGGTAGCATGACATCCGATTTCTTCCGTGTTGTAAATGAAGCCCGCCGCCATTCCTTAGGTCCCTTCAGTCCATCGTTCAATATACAAACCTGTCTCTTTGAGGGTCTGCAAAAGCATTTACCCGAAGATGCCCACAAACGTGTCAGCGGCCGTTTGCACATCTCCATGACCCGTGTCTATGATGGCAAAAATGTTATTGTCTCCGAATTCAATTCCCGCGATGAGGTCTTACAGGCATTGTTATGCGCCTGTTTCATACCAGGATTTTCGGGAATTCTACCACCCAAGTTCAGAGGAGTACGTTACATGGATGGTGCCTTCTCGGATAATCTACCCATTTTGGATGAGAACACAATAACCGTTTCACCATTCTGTGGTGAGAGTGATATATGCCCACGTGATCAAAGTTCCCAGCTCTTCCATTTGAATTGGGCCAATACCAGCATAGAGATTTCGCGACAAAACATCAATCGCTTTGTGAGAATTCTATTTCCTCCCAGGCCGGAGTTCTTATCGAAATTTTGCCAGCAAGGATTCGATGATGCCCTACAATTTCTGCACCGTAACAATTTGATTAATTGTCGCCGCTGTGTGGCCGTGCAGTCAACGTTTGTAGTATCCGAAACAGTGGCCCAGCCCCAGGAATTTGATCCTGAGTGTAGAGAATGTAAAAAGCACAGAAAGGTATGCATCAGGGTCTTCAAAGCCACCTTGTGAGCAAAAACTTATTGCCTTTTTTTCTAACAAATTTCAGGATGCACTTTCCTCAAATATGCCCCAAACAGTGTTGGATGTTATACAAGACTATATAGAACAGGCCAATAAGGGTTTGGCCAACTGGTTGTTCAAACATCGTGGCATCAAGTTACTCTCGCTGCCAGCCACAGTTCCCATAGACTTTCTATTTGCCACAGTTTCAAAGTAAGTTAAAACACCACAACAGCTAGAGTAGTTGATTTTATCTTCCATACCGATCAATGTGAAAAAAAACATTATTTGTTTCTTTTTTATAGAACTTGTAAAACTCTACCAAAACCATTTGGAAAAACATTTGCAAGCGCGTAAATTACACAAAACATTACCGAAAGAGAGAGAATCGAAATACATGAACTGAATTTATAGATAAACTAATTAGAAAATTTTTGAATAGGCCTTAACGAGTTAAGCATAATGAAGCAGTTGGCGTGCTTCTATCTCAGTAGCTTTGAAGTATTATATAAGCAATTTATTTGTTTTTGTATTAAAACTTATATTGAAATTATACAATAAAAAAATTAAAATCTAATCAAATTTGTTTGATTTGAAAACTGTTTCCAAAAAAAAAAAACTCTTCTGTCCATCTCTCACTCTTAACTCCCTTCCTACAAATCCAATAACAAAAATTACAAATTTTGCAAATGTTTCTCCAAGAAAAAAACATATTTCTTTACACTTCAATAAGAAAACAATAAATTTGAAACGAATTTGGTCTGGCCCATTTACATGATCCCCAGATTCCCTAAATCTCTTTTCTTTTCCCTTTCTAATTCTCCTCTAACCCAACTCTTTTTTCAGGCTTAGTTCATTAACACCTAAATTAACGAAACAAATGCGTGTGGTCGTTGACGATTTTGTAAATCAATTAAATAATGCAATACATGTGCGTTTATTAAATAAAATAACGGTAAGTTACTAAAATCTGAATGAGTATAATTTGAATTCTGAATTTGACAATGTGTGTGTGTGTGTGCTGTTTTGCAGATCTGTGATCCTCCCCATTTCGATACGACCGGTTTGTTACATTCGAAGCGTTTATATGGGCCCCGAGTATCAATACTTGTGGACGAATGGTGGGTATCAAAGCGAGAGGAGATATAAAAGTCTATAATTAGAAATTAATTATACATTTTTATTTTCAGTGGTGCTTTACCTTTGCAAGATGATGTTGATCATTATGAGCACGTTTTAAAGGTATGAAACAACAGCGGGAAATATATGTCAAATGGAAAGAATTCTAATATTTTTAATGTTTTCTGTCATCTCCTCCCCAGGTCACTACCCACAATGATGCCCTGTATGCCTACTATTATACCGATGACAATACAAACAAAGTCAAAGTTACGGAAATCTTCGATATGACTGAGAATGTTGAGCTTGCCGATATGAAACAATACGAAGGTTCCGTTGAAGACCATCCAAATCCACATCAGCATCATCACAATGCCGTTGTCAGTGAATGGAATGGTGTAGAATCAGGTAATTTCCACCCCTCCTTATTTTTATTTTCAGTTTTCATTATTCTAACTCATAATTTTGAAAATAAAGAAAGCACTTCATAGAGCATATCTAACAAAACCAGCAAACAACTCATGTATATAAACCCAAAATTTATTTTCAATTACAGTACAAATTATACCCACACCTCCCGATTGTCGTGAAGATATTTTTTGATTGTAAATCCTTGCATAACAAAAGACACTCAACACCAAACACCTACCCACCCACCCATACATACAAATTCAAACTACTACCACTCCTATATCCATTTTAATACATTTGCACCCTATTAATTATGTAATCAACAAATTAATGAAAATGAAAATGAAAAAAGAAAACAATCGAACCACGTGATCGTGATCAACTGCTAAAATCCTTTGTGTGTAAATATATTCGCAAAACTGATCGATCGATTGCGTTTTCTCATGACCTTTATATTCAGTCTTAATTCAGAATGAAAGGTAAAAATGAATTGCATTCTTTTATTTTTTTGGAAAACTAGAATTTGTGCATGTCTATTTAATTTTCAGTCCATTGTATGCATTGTATTAACAGCAGTGAGTTGGGACCACCAACAACTTTGGTGGTCAATAATAAACTGCCAACCAATTTGTAGACTACGGTTTGGGGATGTTAATCGTTTTATTCCTTTTTTAGTACTTCTCAAGCCCGCATCTAATCCAAGTTTACAATTCTATTATCAATTACAGATTTCTTCATTGACCAGCAATCCCACTCTCCTGAAAGTGAAGACATCCCGCCAACCACAACAGACGTATTACCAACCTCGTCACTCTACCAAGCACAAACTGAAAATACATTATCATCCGGTGTTCACACTGACTCTGGGGAGGAAACATGTGTTTTCAGTGATCCAGAAGTGGATCAGTATTACGACGGCAACTCATCGGTATTTTCAACGAGCATCCATTCTCCCTCACAGCATCATCATCACACAGCTCAACTGAAACTGATCTCTAAACAAAAAGAAACACTAACTGGTTCCACCTCCCATCATATGACGAGCTCTGATGATCTGTGCATAGACATTGAATAATGGGCCGACTTCCATAACTTGTACTACTCCCACTATATTTGTAAAAAAAATCAATCAAGACCAAATGTTTTTTTTTTTTTTATTTTATTTGTTTTATAAAAATTCTTTGTGTATTTGTTGTATGTATATAGAAATCAAGAGAATTTATGTTGAAAATACTTCTATCATTAAAACGATTATTATTATTATTATGATTATTATTACCACAACTACAGATGGAAGCTCTGAAGCCAAAGGTAGATAAAGCATAGCTGAAAATGCCTTGTAAAAAGTACATAAACTTATATAAGACATTCTTAAGAAGAATTTCGATTTTATCGGAATGTTCATCAAATGTTGTATTTTTACAATTGCAAAATAAGTTTCTATCCTAATTAAAATGTTTTCTTCCTCCTACTTCTCTACTTCTCTCTGTAAACCCATTATAAGCTATTGTAGAGTTTATTATTATCATTATTAATATTATTATTATATTTTAATTCATCATTGCAATGTATGTACCTTTATAACAATTTATATTAAACGCTAAGAAAGCCATTTAGAATACGTTAAAAGAACGGAAAAATCATGAAAAAAATATATATTTTTTATAAAAAAGAAACAACAAAAAGCTTGTGTTTTTTATTTGCTATTTGTGAAGAGGATAGGAAGTTATACAAGACTGAAATTTTGCTGTTGCACCTAAGGGTAATAATCCAACCAATCAAAGGAAAGACTATGACCCAATCTGGCTAAACTCAGATCGATTTTAGCTGGGCTCCTAAGCTCAAGCAATTGTTCTAGCACCAAAACCAGCTAAAAAATATTGCCTTGTTAAAATTTATATCGATTTCATCCTGTTCTTTTGAGCTACTGTACAACATTTGCGACAGATAGCGTGGATCTATGCTCCTACTTTTGGCAAAATTCATACCAATTTCTCAAAAACAAAAATTCTATTGCCATGCCGGTAAACGCCTGAAAAATGTTTCATTTTGGAAACGAACGGTGGTGAATACATATCAGATTCAGCCCGTAAATTCCATGGGACCTGGTTTTAAGGGTTTCTTTGACATACCTATATTAAAAAAAAGAATGCATACTTAGATTTTATTAACAAACTTAATAAACTTGATTTTATTACGCAACAGAGTTGTTTTGATTTACAATTTCTTATAACAAATGTAGGAATTTACCCCACATATTTTACATGGTAATGCGATTTGTAAACAACTCCAACTATTTCGATAACAACGATGCAGCTTTATGGTAAAATGCAGTAGCTATTTGTGTCCAGGTGATTCCATCCAAGTGCTAGGCCGTTTGATTCATGACTTTCCCAATGCAAAAGGGAGCTTCAAGTACAAAAGGATGGGAATAAGTTTTCAGTTTTCAATAATTTGCAAGAAGTTCTTACCCAATCTTATGGCAGCACACAAAACAGTAAACATTAAAAAGTTATTTCTAACATCAGCCTGGACGCGCTTCTTCTCCTCAGCGGGATCAACTTGTGGTGGCATGCGAAACATTTTGTAATTTTATTTATTTAAAACTTTTGATAAATTTAATAATAAATGCAGTGAAAAGAGGAAAATCTCTTGGTCAGGAACAAAGTTACAGAATTAAACAACTCGTGTCAGAATGAATACATATGGAATGTCAATTTGACAGTTTTCAAGCATGGTACTTTCACCATGTTTTTCATGTAAGCACATGAACTAATGCCATGTTTACATGTATGATTTTTATATCATTAAGGACATATTGTTGACAAATTTTGCTTTTAAGAAAAAGCCAGGCGATAATTTGAGACATCGAAATATTATCTTTTATCTTATCAAACGTTAAACGTTGCCAACTTCTTGACTATCCATTTATTTCTTTTTTTTTTGGTTTTTTTCTAACTTGATGCATATAAGAAAATTTACATGTACTAAATTGAGCGGATCCATTGCATATAAGACGAATGAAATCGCCTCTCAAATTAAGTTGATTTCATTTGACGTATAGGCAATGCAATTGACAGTTGAATTCCAATGGATAAAAATATAAAAATTATTTAAATAAATAGTTTCAAAGCTACAGAAATACCGCTCTGAGGTTATGTTCGCTTCCTATATGAATTATTCGAGATTATATGCAATAAGGTGTTTTCATTTATTTCACATTTTCCTCATTTTTAAAGAATCTACAATGTTTTTGCAACATTTTACTGAGACCCCATTCCACAACTATACCATTAAAACAGTCAAGACAACTGAGCTCATGTTCTACCTATATTGTATCTGATACGTAGGTGTCCAAACAGTTGAACAAATATTATAAAAAACTATGATTGCAATTGTATTTGCTTCTTAATTTTTTCGGATGTAAGGCATTGTGTTTTGTGTAAACCCTCAAATAAGGTAATATACTAAGTTTAATTGCTAAATAGAAATAGCATGATTGACAATTGATATGCTGATATTAAAGGATTTCCTTAAAATTAGTTATTATTAATATTTCTCCGTTCCTTTAATTATTGTTTCAAGCATTTACCTAAGGACAATTTTCGCATTTTACTCTTTTAATAGTTTTAACACTTAAAAAAACTACAGCAACAATGTTTTATTTATCAGGATTTCGCAACTAGATGACACAAAACGTGTAATGTAAATGCTACTTCAACGCATTAGAATATACGTCATACGTCAACGTTTTCCACTAGATACGCGCCTTGTTATTTCCTCTGAATACAACACTGCAAATGCGACACAAAACAAGTGTCAAAATTTTCTAGAAGATTCACGAGAGGAAAAGAGACACAAAAATCCAAAGTCAGAGTAATCAGTTGAAAAGAAAACGACGTGAGAAACACTAGCTTTTAAAGGTAACCTAGCGAGGAGGAAAAAAACGTTTAAATCACACAGAAAAGAAATAAAAATTTGCAAACTAACAAGCGAGTCGAAAAACTAATAAACCAACGTGTAGCAAAGAACAGATAAAGAACTACAGATAAAAGTTAAACCAAACGCCACTCACTGTACCATACCATACCGTCTAAAGAGCAAAGATTCTCCAAAGCGAAAAACGTATGTATGTACTTTCGTACTACATAATTCAATGTTTTAAGTTTTTGATGAATGGAGGACAGTTGGATTTGCATAAAAAGTTTCCATGTGCCATATGAATCAGTGATAAAATATTGAATTATTTGAGAAATATTAACATTTTGTCGAACATTCTGGATTTATTATTTAATTTTTCTTCTTTCGTTGGACTCATTGAGTGACGTGTTTGTTCTAGTTTTAGTTTTGTGAAAGAATAATATGTGTAAAAGGTCCAAGTGCTAAACTGAAAAGTGTATATCATTTTTTCCATTGCAGATAAATTCTGGAAGTTTGTTTTGGTGGTCTGAAATTACACAGAGCTGCCCAACAGTTTTTTAACTTTATAGAAGAACAAAAACACACAGTAACAAAAAAGAAAAATGTCTGTGATTGGTATTGATTTTGGTAGCGAGTCGTGCTATGTCGCCGCCGCCAAGGCTGGCGGTATTGAGACTCTTGCCAATGACTACAGCTTAAGAGCAACACCGTAAGTATTGACAATGATTCTTGACTTGTTATTACAAAAAATGATTAAGCATTACAAGTGGCGAAAAGTGAGGTTAGTTTTATTTTTTTTCTTTTCTCCCATTCAATTCTTTTTCTTCTTCTCAAAGTGTGCCTTCTGTTTGTTCGCTCTCTCACTCTCTTGGTTGTGGACAACGGAAAATTTGTCAAAAGACTAAGTCAATTTTCGATAAAACGTGAGGAGGTCAGTTGTCCTTGCAAATAAACAAACTGAACTAGAGAAACCAATGTCTGAATAAACATCGCTGCATTAAGGGGAGTCATAACTGCTATTGCTAGGAAACATTCCAGAAACATGTGTATTTTTCTGGAAGATATTGATTTTTTTCTTTGTCCCTTTTATAAGGGCACTCAGCTGTTACGGCTTAACGTTGGTAGAATCACCCTCAAATATCAACACTCGATCATATGTTTTGGACGACATCTTCAACCAGCATGGGGGTTATGTGTAGATATGTTGCTATGTGCTGAACGGGCGAATGATATGTAAGCCGGCTTTTCAATGTCGTTTCAAATGTGTGTGTGTGTTCGTTTGCGTTTTAAGAAGATCTTGCCGCCGTTTACGCGATGTTTGTATGATTTTTGTGTAGCATGGCCATTTATGGATAAAATATTGTTCAGATGTGCATCAGTGATTGCGGCGGAATGCATTTTTGTCCAAATGATGTCATAGCAATTGATTGAAGTCCATTGGCACCACATACACACACGCACACGCCATTCATTCCATTTAGTTTGATGACAATACTTTAACCACCAACCATCGAGCATTTGGTTCCCCCATGTTACCACCATTTGAAGGTGTTTTTTTTTTCTAATTTAATTTCTTCCCAATACATTTCGTTTGATTGTTTATTTGAAAACATTTCCATAGCATGTGTGGGTGGTTGGTATTTTCGTTCGAATGGCCAAAAGCTGCGTCATTTTGATAATCAAAAAAGTAGGTATCCCAAAAATCATATACAACCACACAACCAGGCATACGTTTACTCACACACGCACACACATGCAACACCCCATTTGGCCATCAAAAAAAAAGTGTAGTCACCAACCGGTAAATGGTGAGAAACAAACAATCCATTTCTAGAAACACTAAAAAAAAACAAGCCATACTAGAGATTTGTAATGCCCTAAATTGAATTTAATTAACACCTTTAAGAGCCAACATTGGTGTTTATCTGGTCACTTTTTCCTATCCAAAAGGAATTAAAGTATCGATTTTTATATAAGATAATAAATCCCATGAGACTTAGATTATGACTCAATGGTCATTAGCTACCGTCTTGAGATAAGTAGCATTATCCATTATCATCTGCAATGACGTCACTTGTTTGCTTCTCGATTCCTCTCTCACTAGACCGGACTTAAGAGCAACTAAACTTAATCACTTGGTATTTAATTTTAGATCATGTGTGGCTTTCGATGGCAAAAAACGTATCATTGGTGTTGCTGCCAAAAATCAGCAAGTCACAAATATGAAAAACACAGTTAGTGGCTTCAAACAATTGCTGGGTCGGAAATTCAACGATCCCCATGTGCAACGTGAACTTAACAGCATTCCAACAAAAGTTACCAGCTTGCCCGATGGTAGCATCGGTTATCATGTCAACTATTTGGATCAAGAGCAGACCTTTACTCCCGAACAGTTGACTGCCATGTTATTTACCAAATTGAAGGAAACTTCCACCCATGCTTTGGGAACACAGGTATGTTTTCAAAAGCCCGCACTTTTCTTTAGCAGCTAATATCGTATGGTGTTTTTTTTCGTTTAGGTAAATGACTGCGTTATTACTTGCCCTGTGTACTTCACCAATGCTGAGCGCAAGGCTTTACTCGATGCTGCCCAAATCACTGGCCTTAACGTTCTACGCCTAATGAATGAGACCACAGCAACAGCCTTGTCATATGGTTTCTACAAGCAGGACTTGCCCGAGGACAAACCTCGTAATGTTATCTTTGTGGACTGCGGCCATGCCTCACTGCAGGTCAGTGCATGTGCCTTTACCAAAGGCAAACTCAAGATGCTGGCCAGCACCTGGGATTATATTGGAGGCCGTGACTTTAACACCGTTTTGGCCGACCACTTTGCCAAGGAGTTCCAGGACCGCTACAAGATAAATGCCAAGACAAACGCTCGTTGTTGGCTGCGTCTGATTACCGAGGTCGAGAAATTGAAGAAACAAATGTCGGCCAACAGCACCAAATTGCCATTGAACATCGAATGCTTCATGGAGGACGTAGATGTTTCGTCAAGCATGCAGCGTTCGGAGATGGAAGAATTGTGTGCTCCATTGTTCCAACGTGTGGAGAAAACTTTCAAAAAACTGTTGGCAGATTCCAAGTTAACACTGGAGGACATCCACTCAGTGGAAATTGTTGGCGGTAGCTCACGTATTCCCGCCATTAAGCAGTTGATTGAGAGTGTATTTGGTAAATCGGCCAGTACCACATTGAATCAGGACGAGTCGGTGTCCCGGGGTGCAGCCTTGCAATGCGCCATCATGTCACCCGCTGTTCGTGTTCGTGAATTCGGTGTTACCGACATTCAGAATTATCCCGTTATGGTTACTTGGGAAGGCGATGGCTCAGTATCTGGTGGTGGCATTGAAGTGTTCCCTGTTTTCCATGCAGCACCATTCAGCCGTCTTTTGACCTTGAACCGCAAAGAACCCTTCACCATGACAGTTCAGTATTCACAATCTATTCCTTATCCAGATCCCGTTATTGGCCGCTGGACCATTAAAGATGTCAAGCCCAATGACAAGGGAGAATATGCCGAGGTTAAGGTCAAAGTAAGAATCAACCATCATGGTATTGTATTGATCTCCAGTGCTTCGTTGGTCGACAAGAAAGAAGCCGAAGAGCCACCAACTCCAGAGCCCGCAGCTAATGCTGAGCAGCCAGCAGGAGGAGAACAACAGCAACAAAACAATGGTGGTGAACCCATGGATGTGCAGACAGAGGTAAGTCATCGATCGCACTAGACGCGACGCTATTGTTTCTTCCTCATCAAATCATTAAACAAACATCTGTAGTGGTATTTCGTCCCAGTCTAAGTGTTCAATGTTGCGAGCAAAAGTTCTGTTTTTGAGTTTTTCAATCACCTTTTAGTTTACCTCAAATGTAGTTCAACGTCTAGCACATTTAAGTTCTAACCAATTTGTAGATTAATTTTACTAACTCTCCAAATCAGTTATCATTTCTTTGACTTTCATATACTTTCGTTCTGCTGTCCTTGAAGCGATCACATTTTTATATGAAACAAGTCTATGTTTAGGGTATTTCAACGTTAGCTTAAGATAAAACGTAATATATAAACAAAGATAATCTTAGATTAGTAATAATCCGAAAGAATACACCCTTAGCGTTTGTTAACTTATACTTCATAATATTTATTCTCTTTCGAGGCAATTTGCTACCTCATTATTAAACATCTAACGTTGAAATTCCCTTGGACTAGAACCATTTATGCATACTTAAGTTCTGTACCGTTTTTCTTCTCTGCTATTTCACACCTTCATAATAAGCAATGTCAATTTCCTTTCAATAAAAAAAAAAAAATAAGAAAAGGAAAGTAGGTTAAATTTTTGAAATACGAAATTGATTTTTGTGTTTTTTGTTGTCTTCTTGGTTTCGTTCTTACCACCAATACCACCACCACATCTCCTCGTCATCATTGTCTGACGATAATGGTCCATTACCACACAAACTGTCGCGTAGGCTTGTAATGACAATGAGGACGATAGTACAAATACTGCCTCATCACCTGGAGGACAAGGGTGGGCTCAACGGGTCAAGGGCTGGTTTACTCCGGTACGTTTCGTATACGCTAAAGCTTTTGTTTACTATTTAACAATTAAGTTTTTCCTTACACACACTCTACTTCCAAACAAAACAAAATAAAAGAAAAGACAAGAAATTGGAAATTTGCTGAAAAACAAATACACAGACCGAACATTGGCATTCGTCATACTGCTGCATGCATGCTGCCGAATGAATGAATGTCAATGGCAGATGGCTACTACTTCTTTAAAGAAAGACACTAAAGAAGAAAACAGCTCACAAGCCTACCCTTGAGTACTCTCCTTGTCAATAATAAAAACAAAACAGAATCAATGAATAGTACACTTGAAATACGTATGTTTAAGTTTGTCCAACACCCATTCAAATATGTATGTTTAAACACACAATAAAGACGCCCTTCACTCCTCCCCTGCTTTGGAATTATGCACACTCTTCCTTTTGCCTCCAAAGTGTTTTACTAGCCCAAAATGTTCCTTCCCAAATCTAATACTCAGGGTTTTAGGATAGGCTTCTGTTGTTGGTTCAATGCTAATTTAAGATTAACCATCTACAAATTTCCTCTTTCTACTTTTTTCTTGCTTTCTTCCGGAATCTGAATTCGCTTGGTTTCTCATTTGGTTGACTTTTGTGTGTTTCAGGGTGCCGATAAGAAGAAGAAAACCACCAAATTGATTGAGCTGCCCATGGATGTGCACACACACGGCTTTTTGCCCAACGAATTGAGTAACTTGATTCAACAAGAGGCTAAGATGGTGTCCAATGACGCCAAGGAAACCGAACGTATTGACGCCAAAAACGCTTTGGAAGAGTTCGTTTACGATATGCGTAACAAGCTCCAGGTAAATATAACGGTTTGTCATTCGATGCATTTCACTTACTTAATTGAGGTTTGTCTGTTTTAGGGTGGTCCCTTGGAACGCTATGTAGTCGATGCTGAACGTGACGCTATCTGTGCTCAATTGAATGAACTGGAAAATTGGTTGTACGAAGACGGTGAAGATTGTGACCGTGACACCTACGTTAACAAGCTCAAGGCCTTACACAACCAAACAAACCCGATCAAGGATCGTGCCAGTGACTACGAACTCTGCCCCGGTGTATTTTCGGAATTGAAGAATGCCATCAACCATGCTCATGCTGCTGTAAACGAATTTAAGAAGGGTTCACCCAAATACGACCATTTGACTGAGACCGAATTCATCAACATCGCCGAACATGCTGAAAAGGCCCAGAAGTGGTTGGACAGTAACATGGCCAAATTTGCTGAATCGCCCAGAACAGCCAACAGTCCCGTCAAGGTGGCCGACATTCGTCACGAAGTACAGACCCTCAACACCTGCGTAAATTCAGTAATTAATCGTCCCAAGCCCAAGCCAGCTGCCAAACCTGCACCACCCAAAGACAATGCAGGCGAACAGCAACACAACGGCGAGAATGCGGACAACAAGGCCGAGGGTGATAAGACAGCGCACACCAACAGCGTGCCAGAAGATTCAACGATGGATGTGGAATAGGGTCGTCGGCAGCGTAGCAGCAGGAACGCCGTTTAGATGTAGAGAATTTATAAGACAAGAAGCAGCACACAGACGTTTGTTTTTAGAGCAAAATATAAAACAAATTATTGAATTGCTTTTTAATAAAAAGCAGACCGATCACACACTTTACTCTCCTCCTATATTCCTCTAAATCAAATAAATCTACACATGCCCTCGCGCCTCCTCCTCCCCCTCCCTTTCATTCATATCCCCGCCCTCTTAGTCTCTTCACTATCTATCGTAATGTCCTTCTTCATACTTTTTCCAATGTCATACATAATTAAATAAAACGTAAATAAACAACAATTTCTTAGCTATACAAGAAAAACAAAAAACAAACAAACAACTCCCCCCCAAAATTATTTATATTTATGATGATTGAATTAACTAACTCGAAAATAGTTTTGGTAGTTTAGTAAGAACCTATCTTTACTCTTCTCGCTTAATTACTCTTGATTTGGACGATATTTGTAAAATTTAAACATATTGAAGCCGCCTAATCACTTCTAAGTGACTCAAGTTTCAATATTTACTATTAATGTACATGTGGGAGAGATGTTGGTTACTTATTTATTGGCACTCCATTTGTAATCAGAGTTCAGATGCATTTAAAATTCCAGTAAAAAAAAAAGAAAAACAACAAATTGTGCTTATTTTCAGTCAAACGAAGGATCTTATTATAAAATAATTATCCTACTTATCTACTTTTCTCTCTTAACCGCCTTTAGGTACGATTGATGTGTCTTGATACAAGTTGACTTTCTTATTTCGTACATGTGCAGTGTGTGTGCGTGTGTACTTATTAGGAATGAGTTTAGCCAAAAATTAACAGCAACAATATTCAATGTATTTCCTTAAATTTAAAAAAAAAGATAAATTTTCCATATATGTTACATTATTACAACATATACATTTCAAAATATCCTTGTACACACAATACAACACATACAGATACTGAAAAAGATATGAACTAAAATAAAACCACACTTTTATTTGGGAAAATAATATAAAACGAAATATATTCAAAATCATACACAGTAAATCCGTTGTTGGTGTTTTTATTTGCGCGCCTGGTTGAAGGCAGGGAAATTTTGCAATGTGGTTGGGTTGGAATGTGACTACTAAGTGGTGTTCTGACTACCACGTGTTGAAAAGAACGATTTTAGAGGTAAACAAAAAATTAAATTTTAATTTATTTTGTATGTGATAAGATCTATTGATATACTCTTGTTTTTAACCGACCGTAGAGTGCGGTATCTCTGTTATCAATGTTTTATCTACTGTTTGTTCATAATCGGAACTTCACACACAGGAAACTACTGGAAAATCAAATTGTAGCCACGACAACGGGGTTTGCGAGGTGGGACGAAAAACCACAAATTTGTATTTGACAAAAGTCTTGCATTCTACTTTCGCACATTCGAAAACATTTCGCTGATAATGAATTGATTTTTTTGTAATTTAGCTGCACTAAATTGAATAGTTTAAACCAACAAAATATGAAATGTTAAGAGTTGACCCTTAATTGTTTCTATCCAAATTTACTTTTTTTTACCCTCTACCTTGGAGGGTATATTAACTTTGTCATTCCGTCTGTAACATCCCTAAATATTCGTCGTAGACCCCATAAAGTATATATATATTCACATTCAGCATAAAATTCAAAGTCGAATTAACGATGACCGTCTGTATGTCTGTTTGTTGAAATCACGATACAGCCCACAATATTTGTCGTAGAGCGTCAAAATTTAGCAGAACAATTTGTATTGTGTTTAGGATTGAAAATGAGATATATCGGTCCACGTTTTGGTATAGTCCCCATATGACGGTACCTCCCGATATTCGGTATTTTGATGATTTTTGCCACATTTCTTCGCGGATTTGTCTAAAAATTGGTATTTGTGGGCCCTAATGGGTTCTAGCTCCGGTGGCGAAACATTGTATGTAAGCCCCATATAGCGGTACCTCCCGATATTCTGTATTTTGATGACGTTTGGCACATTTTTTCACGGATTTGTCTAAAAATTGGTATTTGTTGGTCATAATGGGTTCTAATGTTTCCATTACCCTAAGGTGGAGGATATTAAAGGTTCGACCCGGCCGAACTTAATGTTTTTTTACTTGTTATTAATATTATATGTTTCAGTTCCACCAAATTTTGTTCTATATCGGATGCGAGAATTTGGCCCAGAATTCTGTCACCAAATAGGTTTGGTTTAAGGATGCACAGCTACACGAATTCGGCAACTGCTTCATTTGGAGATCTTTGGCCCATGGTTGTTATCCTATGAAGAAATGATTTATAGATTTATAGAGGGAAATGTAGCTCGGAGGTTGGATGGTGGTGGATGGTATGCCTTTGGCAAACTTTGTAAAGAATGATGGCATAGATGCCATGAGATGCACTGAGAAGAACGTTAGAGTTTCTATCTCCAACCTGTCTATGTCTTTTTGTTGCAGAATATGGGACATCTGCAAAGTAGATGTTCAATCGTCTCTACCTCTCTTTCGTCTTCACATAGGAACACTGTTGTTCCATCTTGAGGTCAGGTATCAGATGACCAACCACCATTATTTTTTGATCAGACGTGTACTAAATGGTAGAAGATTCTTCTCTGGTTCTTCTCCTGAAGATTATCGCCTAAATAGCCTTAGATACTCTACAACCGGTTTCCAAGTGGCATCTTCTTCGATGAGAGATATTTTAAAGCAGTTGGCATAATAGGTTATTGGTGGTTTAAATGAAGTGACCGATGAATTTCGGCTCTGCTTTGGCTTAGAATTTTCTACCCTTCCCAAATTGATAATTATTGTTATATTAAAGAATCGTGTTCGTTTGTCAATTTTCTTGCTAGGTTGTTACGCCTTAAGCTGTTCCATCTTTCTGGAGCTGTTGCATAAGTTACATTGGAACAGAGCCGTTATTTTAAATTGTTACATCGCCTATGGTTTGATTAATTACCGATCTAAAAAATCTGAGTAAACGAATGGCATTAACATTTCATAACTTTTATTTGTGTAGTCGAGAATATTAAACCCAATGACCGATCGATCGATCGGCCACTCCACAACCAGTTCCACCAGTTTGCGACCGACGACATGACATTTAACCCTTTGGGTAAAAGAAAGAACATTTTTGGCCATTAGAAAAAAAAAAGAAATGCCGAAGAACGATTATTAATTATAATTGCTAATTTGTTTTTGGTCTTTTCTTTCAGAAAAAAAAAAATAGTTTCGTTTTGCAAAATGGTTAGCTGTTGTTGTTGTTGGTGTCTGATGGTGTTCTTTGTTGGAGCTATGGAGAAAAGATAAACGCTGTCTTGTTTGACCTAAATGCAAAGAAGTTGTTTTGGGGCCCGGGGGCAACAACTATCGAACAATATAGCAAACCAATTTAAATAAATATGCTGGTCTTTTGACCAGTCATCGGAGGTTTCTTTCTTCGATTTGGTTCTGATATTCGAACAGTTGTAGGTTGTGATTGATACACAACACACTGGAAATTCTTAAACGTGGACCAAAATGCGGATTACTTATTTGATTCTATTAATCCTGATCGTTGGGGTTGTGGCGAGTGCCGCCCAACAACAGAATAAAAAAAGGAAAGCTGGCGTCACCCAGGCTAGACAGCAGAAACAGAAGAAACCCATTAATCGCATAAATGAGAATAAAAAACCCGCCGGAATGCGAAACAAGAAAGTAAAGCCCGTGCAAAAGAAAAACAAAAAGGTCTTTGTTAACCACATTATACCGGGCCTGGGTGCTGTACGTGGCCGCACTGTGAAAACCGAGTGGACTGGTCAAGATATGATTCAATTCTTTGATATTCCATATGCCACGGGTTCAAGTGGAGCTTTGAGATTCAGGCCAGCCAAGCCAATGCAACCATGGTCCGGTACATTGAAGGCAGAGAGGCCTTTTGGCGGCTGCCCTGCCTTGGATGATGAGGCCGATTACAATGCATTGTTGGAGAAAAATGTTGAAGTCGAGGATTGTCTGCGTTTAACCATTACTACCAAATCTGTAAGTAGTCCTGCACATTTTTAAATTTTGTTTTCTTAAATTTGCCTTCTTCATTGGTCTTCAGTTCAAATCAATTGCTCCCGTCATGGTGTACATTCATGGTGACTTTTTGTATGATGGCAATACATTGGATGCCCCACCCGGCTATTTGTTGGAAGAGGACATTGTTTTGGTAACTGTGCGTTATCGTTTGGGACCTTTTGGTTTCTTGTCCACCATGTCTGATGATATTCCCGGCAACGCTGCTGTCTCTGATGTCATATTGGCCTTGAAATGGATACAGAATCACATTGCCTCCTTTGGCGGTGACCCCGATCGAATTACCTTGTTTGGGCAAGCCGGTGGTGCTGCTTTAATCAATGTTTTAACCATGAGTCCAGCGGTATGTTCGACGACTTGTAATGCGGACAAAGATAGATGTTTAATTTTGTTTACTTTAGGTTCCAGAAGGATTATTCCATCGTGTCATTTATCAATCCGGTTCAAGTTTGTCGCCTGCTTTTATAACCGACAATCCTTTGCCAGCAGCTAAGGATATTGCCAGGATTGCCGGTTGCAAAAATGTCAATAAAATTGAGTCATTAAACAAATGTTTACGCCATCTGAATACCACTGAATTGTTGGAAGCTTTTAGCGTTCATGGTGCTTCGAAGGCGGGTCAAGGTGTTGGCTCCAGCGGGGCCGCACAATTTGTGGTTGGAGGTCCCTCCGGCATTTTGCCCCAATTCCCGGCTAAGCTTTTGACTTCAGGAAATTTCAAGGCCTATCCAACCATGGCTGGCACACCCAAACATGCTGGCACCTATATCATGAAGGGTATGCAAACAAAGGTTTGTGGCTATTTCGTAACTTGCTAAAGGGGTTTTGGGTTTTTCTAGACATTTTCATTGATAGCTTCAATGAGACCATCGTTGATGATCAATTCAATGCCACGGACTACATTAAGACCATTATTTCTGAGACCAATGGACCCGACAGCAGTGGAGCCTGGCTGAAATATGCATTGGAGGAAGTGTTTTCCACCAGACAATTGAAGAATGGTTCTCTTTATCGTTTGACCCCTGGTTTGATTGATGTAAGCAATGAAGGGAGAAGATATTTTGAGTATTTTTAATAATGATTGTTGTGTTTTAGTTATGTAGTACCATTGCCTTCAAGAACCCCGTGCTCTTGGCTGCCCAAGGTAATGCCCGCAAATTGCCCAACAGCACCTTCATATATTCCTTTGATTATGAGGGTGAATTCAATCGTTATGGCACCATTGATGATCAAACCGAGCTGCCTTTTGAATTGGGTGTATCGCTTACCGATGAAAACCTTTATCTATTCCCCTGGCCTCGCTATGCCACTGTGAATTCAAATCGCGATTTGAAAATTGCCTTGCGCATGGTTAAGTTGTGGACTTCATTTGCGGCCACGGGTAAACCTTCGGCCCCTCATATGCCAGAGTGGCCTCCAATGACCGGTGATGCTGGTCCATATATTAAGTTGGGCAAGACCGTGGCCATTGGCAGCAGCTATATTGATGAATTCACGGCCGCCGTTAGGGAATACAAAATGGGCTATAACATTGTCAACGATGATTTCTTTGATTTCATCAATGAACTGAACCGGGAAGAACATGAAGACGATATGGAAGAGGGCGATGAGGAGGATGAAGATGGCGATGAGTCACATGGCGAAGCTCGTGGTGGAAATATTGTATTGATTGCCCATAGAACTAAATTTTAAATAGAGAAATGTGTAATAATTTAAAAGTAAATAAAAGACAATGACGTATTACAAAATGATACAAAAAAAATATAAAATAAAAATTATGAGATTTCTTGTTGTTGGTGGCTTGTGTTGTTATGAGAAATTCAGAAAACCCCGTAGGGTAGGAATGTTTTGGAATGTTTTTCGTGTAAAAAGGAAGGTATTGCGGGATTTATTTTCTTGTATAATTTTTTTTGTGAAATGGGCCTTAAAGATATTTAAAATATGCGAGTTTGAAATAGAATATTTATAACCTTAAGACATTGTTTGCAAATATGCGTGGCAGAGGTCAAATTAGAAAGTTTGTGATGATCTGGCTATGGAAAGAAATGTCATTGATTTCCTTAAAAAAAACTATACCAACTGTCCATAAATTGAGCAATAAATATAAATCTAAATTAGAACAAACTCCAAGGGGCAAATATTTCGTATTCATATTTGGAAGCGTATGAATCAGACGTTTTCAATTTTTTTTCGTCCATAATGTATGCTTTCTTTAGTATGTCACGCTTAAGAGTACCAGATTTAGTGTGTCATATTTAAGAGTGTCTGCAATATTCATGAATTGATTAAAGATTCGAAATTCAATATTAAATATTATTCGGGTTCCTGAGAGATATACATATGCATGGGTTTTTTTCTGAGGCAAAAGTTGAAAAATAGCGGTAGCTGTGTTATTTTTTTTCGTTTTGGGTATTTACATATGTTTGGATGTCTGTATGTACCTTTTAAAATTTAAAATAAAAATTGAAATTCTTTTACATTCTCAGCCACAAAGTGTGTGTATGTTAACTCCAGAAAATTCCGATGGGGAAGATGGGGTTTGTTGAACGTTGTTTTTATGCCAAAAATAAATAAATATTTAAATATATACGCACTTTCAGACGCAGTTCCTCTCAAACTCAAAGAAAATAATGTACGATGTGAGGAAGTCTTGAATTTACATAATTTTGAAACCGAAAGTGTTTTGGGGCGGAGTTTTTTCAGCGCAAACATGATTGAAATGCTGGCAAATATGCCCGCCACCAGTCACATCTGTTGCTCCATTGCTGTCTGCTGTGATGTATTGACCCCTTGGACTGGAGACGTAGACGAAATCAATACAAATTAAGATGATGAGATTATTAAAGCTTTCACTTATTTGAAACCGAACTAATCACCCCGCCGTACAAATTAAATGGAACTTTTTCCACTGTTGTCGGCGGCGATTAAATCATTAGATAAGTTCTGGAGGGGTTTTCTTTTCGAATGAAATCGAAATTGATGCACAGATAACAATGGAAAGCATAATTTAAGCTTGTTATTAGCAGTAAAAGTGAGGGTATTTATGCTCCACTTCAATTCAAAGGTGGCTGTCATCATTGTGACGATGATCTCAAGACAAAGCAACTAACTGCGCTTAGCGATTCGTCAAATTTATTTATGCTAATGATGTTGGCGTAAAAAGATTAAAGCAGATGGTATTGTTCTCATGTTTTGGCAGCGACGGCAGCACTGACCCATAGATAACAAGCGACGACCCACCGATGGATGGACAAGCAGATAGTTTAGCCGAATGTGTGTTTTTTCTCTTGTTTTTTTTTTTGCTTCTTTATTTTACGCATTCTTTCACTTTCGGGTCGGCAAAATTTCTTAATTTCTATCGCACACGGCGGAGATTTGCAAAATGTTGTAAAAATATTAGCTGATTGCTTTGGCCAGCGCTGCCATGGGTGAAATTTGCATTATGGCCAAAACGAAATCTCATCAAATATGTTAAAATCGGTAAAATGGAGTTCTGTCGAATGGAGTGAAATCAGTCTTCTTAGATATTCGGATTAAAACGGTTGACTTGTGGCGCGAAGTGCAAAAATACAACCAGAGCGGATAGACGGAGAACAAAAATAAAATGTTGGACAAATTAAGAAGCCTGATTACAGTGCTCCTATTGCTGGCAGTTTTAATGAGGTATTCGGAAGGAGCTTCCGAGGAGGAGACCGAAGATATTATTATTGAACTGCCCAGTTTGGGTAAAATACAGGGCAAGGTTGTTGAAACCGCTTGGACCCAAAGAGAGGTTGTGCAGTTTGTGGATGTACGTTATGCTGAGTCACCTTCGGGAAAGCACAGATTTAAGGTAGGTATTGGGTTTTTGAAAACAACTAAAAGAGAGAGTGTAATATTTGTTCTACCTCCTTTTAGGCCCCTCGTCCTGTGGAACCCTGGGAGGATGTTATGGATGCCACAGCTGCAAAAATTGGCTGCCCCTCCATTGTGGCATTGGAATCGTTACGCAAATTGGATGACTTCATTGACATTGAGGATTGCCTGACCATGACCATTACCACTCCCAATGTGAATGGCAGTTATCCGGTTTTAGTTTACATACATGGAGAGTATTTCTTTGAGGGCAGCAACTCCGAAGCACCACCCGATTATCTCTTGGAAAAGGATATTGTGTTGGTGGCTCCACAATATCGTTTGGGACCATTTGGTTTCTTGTCCACCAAGACGGAAGAAATTCCCGGCAATGCCGGAGTTTTGGATATATTTTTAGCTTTGCAGTATATCAAGTATTTCATTAAATACTTTGGCGGTGATCCTGATAAGGTTACAGTGGCCGGCCAAGTGGGTGGTGCAGCCATTGCCCATCTTTTGACACTATCACCAAGGGTAAATAATTTTTTAAATTTTATTTAATTTTATATTTATGTGTTCTCTTTTTACCTTTGCAGGTGGAAAAGGGCCTCTTCCATCAGGTTATATATCACTCCGGTTCAGCTCTAATGCCCATTTTCATTGAGGACAATCCCCGTAAATTTGCCCAAGAAATTGCCGGAAAGGGTGATTGCACGTTGGCGACTGTGGGAGATTTGAACAGATGTTTAATGGATATGTCACCCATGGAACTATTGGAGGCATTTATGGATCATGGTGTAAGTAAAGAAAGTGATTGGGTAATTTAAATGATACACGGGTTTATTGAACTCAAATTATTTTTGTTTTTTTTTTGAGAGGTTGTTGAGAGGACACCCTTTTCCTCATCTCTCTCACTTAACACTGAAAATTGCGGTAATTTAAACTGTCTGATGTGAAAAGCTGTTTTGAATGGAATTCTTTGATATGTCTCTCTCTTTCTCTCTCACGAATAAATGTGATATTTTGATATTCATGAGTGATTTGAAGAACTGTTTTTGCAAGACGATACGAAAGTGAAAGCAAAAGCAAAAGAAAACAGCCATTCCAAAAAAAGTTGTTCATATTTTTGATTTTTTTGTTGAAAATTTGAAAAACAGATTTGGATCTGTGTTTTAAGTTCGCATTCGTCATGCTAAACATTTGCTTTGGATATATTTTGTATTTTAGATTGAAAAATCTGATTTAGGTGTGGGCCACACTGGCGGTATCCAGTTTACAATTGGTGGACCAAGTAATGTTTTACCCGAACATCCTTATGATCTGATGCTGAAGAGTAATTTTTCGTATCCAGCCATGGGTGGTTGTCCTAAAAACGCTGGGTCGAAGACAGTAAATGGTAGGTGGCTGTAGTTTTTTTTGGTAATGAACTAAAATTACTTTCTAATTTTTGATTTTCTTTGTTTCTTTTTTTCAGAAATTGTTGAAAACGATTTTGAGGGTAAAATACCCGATGATACCTACACCAGTTTTGATTATATTGATCATGTGATACGACAAGCTGTGGGCACGGATAAAACAATGCTCTTGACCAGTTTTATTACACATGATTTCTTTAATCGCCGGCTAATGGAGAATGGTACCTTTGCCACACTGATACCGAGACTTATAGATGTAAGTATGGATTTTTTACGGATTATCGAAATATTAATACATACATTATTTATTTTTAGGTGGCTGGAACCTTGTTACACAAATTACCTGTTTTATTGGCCCTGAACATGAACAACAAACATGTGCCGGAGAATACTTTCCTGTACTCCTTCGATTATGCAGGAGAATTTAATCGCTATCGTGATATGGATGAGGAACACAACATGCAAAGTCCTTTCAAGGCTGGTGTATCGTTGACCGATGAAGCTTTGTACCTCTTCCCATACCCAGAACATGTGCGCAATCTCAGTCCTCCCGATGTGGCTATGGCCAAGCGTATGGTAGATTTGTGGACCTCATTTGTAATCGATGGCCATCCCTTGGGTAGCCATCGCAGTGGTTATTGGCCTCCCATGACCACTTTGTACGGGCCCTATGCCAAGCTGGATGAAACTTTGACAATAGCTGGAAATTATTTCAAAGAATTTTCGGCCACCACAATGGATGAGGAACAGGGTCACAGCTTGATTAGAGAAGTGTATTACTTGCGGAGGAATCATTCGCGCAAACACACAAGGCGAACTACGAAAGTGAATCCTCGACGAAGATTTACCATAAATCGTCATCGACTTTTGAATGGCTCCAGCCGTAATGCCAATATTTCCGCCATCCATGTGGGCAAATTTGTAACCAAAAATAGTATAGTACGAAGGCATCCTAGTAGAAATAAGGTTATTTATAGACATTAAGAAGTGAAACAAAATGTTGGAAAAATTAAAAAAAAAAATGGAGTTTGTTTTTATGCAAAAGTATTAGGTGGGATTAATCCAGTATTTGGTAAAAATTACAACAACCAATATTGATAACCCAGTATTTTGTAGAAAATATTACAAAATCTCGATAACCAAAAAGTAAAGTTGAGTAAATGAGATTTTGAAAAAGCTTACTGGAAAAATTTGCTCAGTAAAAATTGTCCAGTAACATCAGCTGATTAAAAAAAACCTTTTTTGTGATCGGTGTAAACATTTTTATAAATTTCAGGAAATAAATTACATAATTTGATTATTTTTCAGGAATATTTTCAGAGAAAATTCTCTCAGTACAAGTTATTGAATAATGTTTCCTAGAAAGTTTATCGAACACACCTATTCTTGAATGCTGTTTCAAAGGTTTAAGTTCAAACTCCTGAACAATGGAGGTTAAAGCTTTTGTAGTGCAAATCAATGTAGCGATCAATAATAGGCTAGATATTCTCGAATATTTACGAGCACAAACAGTAGACAAAACAAATAAGTTGTGTCCTACTGACCCCAATTTGCTGAGTATCGTTCCGTTTATTTGCCATTATTTATATTCCTATTATTATTAATGATTTGTGTGGGCGATTCATTTGCATATGAAATGATATGCGCTGGTGTGTTGTTGAAAGATTCTATCACCGGTTTGTTAGACACAGTGGCAGACCTCAGAAGTAATGGGTTTGTCTGGTTACCCAGACATTTGGAAGAATTGTTGCGGGAAGTCATCTGTTAAAGAAAACGATTTGAGAGAGAAGTTTGGATAGTTCTTTCACTGAGAGTTATAATTTTTCCTCTGCGACAATCAATCACCTGTTTTTATTCAGTTGGTGTTTTATTTTGGTGAAAGCAATGTGGAATACATTTTCATCCAGAAAATTGAAAACCAAATTGTTTTGATTTGTTTGGAGAACAAAATAGAAGTTATTCTGATTTTTGGCTCATTTTTTAATTTTTAACAAAATTTGAACTTTTTGGACGATTTGTCTCTTTTTGTGACAGACAAATTACTTTGTTTTGACAAATCAGCTGATTGATTGTGATGTGTATCTGGGCAAGACATTTTAAATAATTTTTATTTTAAAAAACGCAAGCCCGATGGTATTCTTTTTCATTTCATTTTATTTTTTTATTCCTTATTTCTTTTATTTGCGTAAAAATTGCTTTTTTTTGATAAATCAGCTGATTACTTGCAAGTTTTTGAAGGAATTCCGTCTGTTTAATTTCCCCTAGTTTTCTTGCAAAAGAGAATAAAACTACCTCACTCTCTCAGATAGAAGTTGCTGGACAAATCCTGCAGGAAAAGCAACCAGACAGACATATTAGGTGTGTCTGGTGACTTTTCCAGCAGGAATTGTCCAGCAACTTCTTTCTGAGAGAGTAAGGTAGTTTTATTCTCTTTTGCAAGGAAAATGCGAAAAGTAAACAGACGGTATTCCTGCAGAAGCTTGCAACTAATCAGCTGATTTGTCAAAACAAACCAATTTGTCCCCATAAGGAGAATTAAAACAAAGGAAGCAATACTAATTTTACAAGTTTTTTAAATAAAAATGTTGGAAATAGTCTTTTATTTTCATATTACATATTAATATTTACTTTTTTCACATTTTTTTACGTTGTTCTCAAATTGAAACTAAACAAACAATAGAAAACATCTGATTGAATGTCGATGAATGAGAAGACTCAAACTCTCACTGAAAGAACTGTCAAAATTTCTCTCTCCAACCGCTCTCTTTTGCAGAACTTTCGGGTTAACAGACGACTTCCAGTAACAATTTGTAACAATTGTTACAAATTTTAGAGTAACCAGACACACCTATTGTTGTTTGTTTACTTTTTACAGAGAATTAATTTGCCTTACTCTCGGAGAAAGTAGTTGCTGCACTATTCTTGCATGAAAAAATGTAATCAGACAGACCTATTCATATTATTTTCCATTCGGAGGAAACTCTCTTCTCCCATTATAACGGTTCCCCTTTAATTCGATTTTACAGTTATAGATGCGAATGGTAGACAATCTCCCTAAATCACATGGAATCTGAGATTTGCATTTCCGTTTAAGTATAATTTGCATGTTTTTTTTTAAATAAATTAATTATATAAATAAATTAATAAAATTGAATTGATCATAAACCCTCTTCTAATCACCATTTCAATTCTGTCATCGTACACCAAGAATAACAACAGCATCATCGCTAGCGTTAATAAGGAAGCATTTATTGTATGGGTCTAGTCTCGCACAGCTAAGTAGGTGAAGCTGATAAGAAATAGAAATTCTGCGATCACCTCAACAGATGTAAAGAGCGGAATACATACATATTTAATTCTTCTTCATTTTATTTGTTATTATTACTCAGTATTTTATTAATAAATTTCATTTGACAAAAAACAACAAATCAAGTTTTTTTTTGCTAAACAACTAATGCGGTTGATGTAACTATTTTTAGATGAACGACATGAAGGCTCCGGCAATTAGGTTACTGGTGATTCGCCGGGTAATTGGAATAATGTGGATTGGTGGCACCAGGCTGTGGCTGTGGCTGTAGCTGCGACTGCTGATAGCTACGATAATTATATGGACGAGAATTGTAACGATTTGGATATTGCTGATAATTTGGATACTGGTAGTTGGGGTAGGTGGGCGGACGTTGTTGATAGTTGTATGGCTGGTATGGCCGTGGTGTGGTTGTAGTGGTAGTCGTTGTGGTCGTAGTAGATGTTGTAGTGGTCGTAGTTGTCGTTGTGGTGAAATATTCTGGATATAGATTGGGTACTGGAATACCATCGCCGAAATGATGATCCAATTCCAAGTTCCCAGCTTTGGTATTGGTGAATCGCAAAAATGGGCCATATTCCGTACTAACATTGGGCCATATGGATTGGGCATAAACCGGCATACCATATTGCGCAAAGCTAACCCACATGCGTACCAGCGAACTCGACACTGATTTGTCCGATGGATTCAATTGGCTAACCTCTTCGGGATAGGGGAAGAGATAAATGTTGTCATCACTCAGAGTGGCATCGATCTCAAAAGGCAAAGGGTTGCGTAAGTGGCCGAAACGATGATACTGACCACGATAATCAAAGCAATACAAATAGGTGGAGACATTCTTTGAGGTATAGCGTATGCTATCTATGACAGGAGCACGGTACAGGATCAAGTTGACCAACTGAAAAAGTTCAAGAGAAAAAATTAAAGTTTGAAAAATTCTTAAGAGATCGGAGTTTTCAGCTCACCTCCAATAGTTTCTGTACCAATCCCTGGATGGTGGGATTGCGTATATCTTCCGGTGAAAAGATATGCATGAGGGCCCAATTCTTCCACAATTGATAGTGGCGGGGCTGGACGGTATGTTTCAGTACCACATTAATGTAATCGGAAATATTGCGGGAACGCAGATCCACCAACTGATCATAGAAACGGGTCATAATAAAGGCACCTGCATCTTTGGTCACGCCCACCAGAGTTGGGTAGGTGTTATTTTTAACCATGGAGGCAGGATGTTGGGGCAAGTAGCCCAATTTATCACCAACAATCAATTTGAAGGCACCAGCAAATGCCAGGCCACGCGGTTCGTTGCTTTCCTGCAAGAAATTCAAAAAAACAGAGAACCTTGTAAGAGTCGAATCCAAATAGTATGATTAACGGAAGAGAACAAGGACGTTTGTTCTCTTCCGTTTAAAATAAGAAGATGATTTATACATTCTCCTCCCACCAAATTCCCTCTCTCTCCCTTTCTCTTTTTCAACTTACAAAATATCTCTTGAAAAAGGTCAACAGATCTGTGGTCTTCATGCTCTCGAAACAGGCAACATATCCCTCAGTAGTACGGCTGGGTGGGCAACGTGCAAAGTGGGCAAAACTACGCAGAGTACTGGTGGGCTGTTCATCCAGGAAGTATGGATTCAAGGCTGTGCCAGATTGCAATATCAATTTATGGAATAATCCTTGGGCCTGGAGGAGAAATCAAAAATAAAAATTATCTCTTCACATTCTCATAAAATGCTTTTCATTCTCTCTTTCCTACCTTTCCGCTCAAGCTCAGAGCATGAATGAGAGTTGCTCCACCTGCCTGACCCATGAGCGTAATTTGATCAGGATTACCATTGAAGTAGCGTATATATTGTTGAACCCATTCCAAAGACTTTTGGATATCCGATAATGCCACATTGCCGGGCATATCCTCGGTTAGTGTGGACAAATAGCCGAATGGAGCCAGACGATAATTGATATTCACCAACACCACATCATGTTCCAAAAAGTAGTCGGGTTGTCCCTCTTCCGCACTGCCATCGAACAACATTTCACCGTGAACAAATACCAGCACAGGATAGGAACCAGATTTCTAAAAAAGCAGAATGATGGAAAATTAGGAAATTTCCTGCAAACCATTTTGAAGCACTTACAGCTGGCGTGTAAATATTTAAGGTAAGGCAATCATCAATGTTTTCGCCTCGCTCCTCCTTCTCAGTGATAACGGGTAGATCAGGAAACTGTGGACAGTTTGCGGGCTCCTGGGTGGCATCAATGCTGGCATAAGGATTCAGTTCTACAGGGCTGGCTTCCTAAGGAGATAAAAGTCCAAAATCAAGGAAAGTTTTCACCTCTAGTGGCGAACAACATACCTGGAATCGACCAATGCCAGGTCTCACAGTGGCATATTTTAAACCTAAATAGGCATTGATGGGTCTATTTTTAATAGTTTTGAAATCACGAATACCCTGGACAGCACCCAACCGTGGCACGTTTACAATGTGGGCATCCCTGTTACTACTGCTCTGATAGGGAACACGATCACGAGTGGAGGCATACGATGGCTCCGCATTAGTAGGTGGTGGATTATGGGATCTCTGGCCAGTTGATGGCAATGGTCGGGCCTGTTGGTAGAATGGATATTGTGGATGTTCATATGGTCTGAGTTGTGGAGGCTGTGGTGGTGGGATTATAGTTCTAGGATCCACAGGACGTTCTTCGTGTTCTCTCTGATCGTAGTTATTTTCCTGTGGTCTGGGATATGGAGTTATAATTCTAGGATCCACCGGACGTTCTTCGCGTTCTCTCGGATCGTAGTTATTTTCCTGTTGTCTGGGTTGTGGAGGTGATGGGGCAAAAGTTCTGGGATCCACAGGACGTTCCTCGCGTTCTCTTGGCACATAGTTATTTTCCTGTGGTCTGGGTTGTGAGGGAAGTGATGGTGGGGTTATAATCCTAGGATCCACAGGACGTTCCTCGCGTTCACTCGGCTCATAGTTATCTTCCTGTTTCGCCTGCATATTTTCTTCAAATGACGAGGAAACATGAGGTGAATAGGGTTGTGATGGATTTTCAGGATATTCGGGTCTCGAATGCATATTTCCATCATCGGTTCGGGAAACATGTTGAGGATAGGGATATTCGTCACTCGAGCGCATGTTATCTTCTTGGCTGCCGGAAACATGGGGAGTTATGTGGTGTGGTTGAGGATGTTCGTCTCTCGCGTTCATGTTTCTATCATGGTAATCCGAAACATGTGGAGTAATGAGCCGTGGCTGAGGATCTTCTTCCTGTGAAATCGAGTGCCTGGGATCCAAATATTCTTCTCTTGACGGCATGTTTCTGTGGTCAGGAAATGAAACATGGGGAGTTATTGGTCTTGGTGCTGGATTCTCTGGTTCTCGCTCGTACATATTTCTGTGCTCAGTGTTCGAAACATGTGGAGTGATAATATGTGGTTCAGGATTCTCTTCTTTGTGGCGATTATCACTATCGTGAAGATCAGGAAGTGGTGGTGATATTATGCGTGGTTCTGGATATTCCTCTCTGGTATCATAAGGATCTCTCTCGCCCTGCGAATAGTCGTCTGCATAACGATCTGCATGGGAACCAGGGGAGCGATAACCATAATTAGCTCGCGGATCCAAAGGATGATGATAATCGTATCTATCCTCTTCTTCGTAGTCGGAAAAATCATCATTCCCGCCATAGTGATGTTGGGCGCCACATTGGTGCCAAAGGAAACTGCCAATAAATAGACATTGCAGCAGCAACAGCTTAAATTTTCCACTTTTCCGATTCATGTTGCTTTCAAACGACGAAACAAATGAAACTAAATCCCAGCTCACTGTAGAGCTGATTAGCAAAGCTAATCTTCACTACAGTTCTGCCGTTGTCGTCGTTGTTCATCATCGATTCTGGGTTGCAATCGACGTCCAGCCGCAGTGCTTCAGTTTCTACTTATCATTTGTTTTACGAATGGGAAAGCAGCAATAGCTGCTGCTGCCACTGCCACTGCAGCCCTTCTAAGGTTATCGCCTTTGTGCTGTTTAAGAATTGATATGACTGAAGTCATGATGCTTCGATGCCGAGCATTAAATACTAAAAATGAAACTGCGATCCATCGATGTTTTTCTTTTTTTTATCAATATTTCCGTGGGGGAAGAAGACCTGAACCAGAATAGAGATTACCAAAGTAAATTAAATAATCTATGTTTAAATATGAATAACAATGAATGTTTAAGAGGCAATACGGAAATATCATCGGATTCATAAAAATAAACAAATGCAAGTACAGACAGACAATTGATTAGAATTCTAAGTAAGCCATGATAAAGAATTATGTGGTGCCATGGTGTGAGAGTCCAAAAGAGTGATCTAAATGTTAAATGACTTATTCATACAAAATAATGCATTTGCTTACATGGGGAATAGAATATCGTCTATATAGTAATGTGAAATGAGGTTCCAAAACGGAATCAGAATTAAATGTCTTTAAAGATTATCAATAGTATAGAAATTTATTTCTTTTGAATATTTATTTTCTTAATTTTTAAGAAGACTCCCAAAAATATGATAACATTTTCAAAAGATATAATGTCTTGCATGGTTTTCCATTATATACAGGGTGAGATGAAAAAACTGCAATCCACTTCAGACTGCTGTCATTTCTAAGCCACTCGTCCGACAGCTGTTAAAATTATTCCAGAGACAGCTCATTATATTGTTTACAAGCGTACAAAAGCATTTTGGTGAGAATTGTTCAGAAAAAAAGTTATTCGTGATGGAATTCAAGCGTGATAGTTTGATTTCTTTATATTTGGCTGAAAAACCTCAAGTGGCTATCGTTAGAGCACTCCAGCATTTAAATGTGAATAAATCTTTTGTGTCTCGTACCATCGCTCATTACCGGGATACTAGTAGTGTAGCCCGGCGTCAAGGAAGTGGACGAAAGAAAACAGCAACATCAGCAAAAATGGTTCGAAAATTAAAGAAGCGCCTTGAGCGAAATCCTTGTCGCAGTGGCCGAAAAATTGCCCGTGAGCTGAACATATCGCAATATTCCATTCGGCAAATATTGAAAAATGAGCTCGGGGTAAAACCGTTGAAATACCAAAAAGTACAAGAACTTATACCGCAACAAAAAGAAAATAGACTCAAAAGAGCTAAAGAGTTACTTTGCTTGGCCGAAAGTGGTGAACTGCCGAATTTAGTTTTCTCCTATCTCCGATGAGAAACCATTCGTTGTCCAGCAGTTTGTAAACAAACAAAATGATTGTGTTTACTTGCCAAAGAGGTCAGCTGAAAATGTGCACCTTTGGTGGCCACCAGAACTCAAGCGCCGGCCATGGTGATGGTGTGTGCCGCCATAACAGCCGATGGTCGCTCTCCGCTTATTTTAATCGACCGTGGCATCAGAATAAATGCTGAATATTATCACGAAAATATTCTGGGGGTGTATTAAAGCCTTGAACACGCAAACATTTTGGCCGCAGACCTTGGACCTTCCAACAGGACTCAGGTATGGTATTTAGCACGCGCCACCCAAGAATGGTTTAAAAAGAGGTTCCTCGCTTCATACCAATCCGTTGGACTAGTGTGTCTGGAGCATTTTAGAAAGTAAGGTTAGCACTAAGAAATACCAAAGTGTCGATAACCTCAAGCAAGCCCTTCGTCGGGAATGGGCCAAAATACCGCAGAGCAACATTAGGCCATCGTGTGACGGTTTCATTGACCTTTGAAGGCCATAATTCGTGCCAAAGGTGACCAATTCGAACAAATCTAAACTTATTCTAAAATTTGATGCTATTTTCCAATTTTTTTTCAATAAAATTAAAAAAAAGAAATGTAAAAATTATGGCGTTTGACTTTGTTGCAGTTTTTTTTTCTCACCCTATATCTATTACTTTATCATAAAATAAAAGTTTCAAAATCTTTTAAAGTAAGAGAAAATGTTATTGTTACACAAATCCTGTAACTGTCATTCCACTGCTCACATCACAGCTGTTTTGTGAACTGTTTTATCGACGCCCATAATCCTTGCACAGATGCTTTTTTAAGTACTAGCTATGCAAGCCAATCAACACTATTAAAGAGAAAAAGGACATCTCATTCCCGCTCTCACTTCGTTGCAAGAGACTGCTGAACGTAAAACCAGACGACTTTTTAAAGGATATGCCTGAAGCCTGCAACTCTTCAGTTGCGAGTTTCATTTGACGAAGAACGGTACATTTTGCGGAATTCGTTATTTACTTCTTTCAAAAAAACCAAAAAAAAAAAAAACATAGCTACAAATGAAATTTATGGTGAATAAAATGCAAATGGAATTAAATCAAAATCGAGGAAAAGTGAAACGAATCTAAATATTTGATAACCGAAAAAACCGGGCAAAATAGCGTTTAAAGTTAGAAATTCGCCAAAATAAGTGAGGTGTTTGTGCAAAATAAGTTTTCGGAAAAATCCATAACACAAAGATATTAAAATATTATTGGTGTTTAGTGCTAAGCGTTGTCGCGTCTGGCCCTTTGCATATCCTGCAGTGCATGCCAGAGGAAAAAGGAATGTGATTTTAATGCGCTAATTGCCAAAAAAGGATGTAAATATCATTGGCCGAAATAATTCGGAATTTGTTTGCTTGGGCCACACTTTAAAATCAAAAGGACATTTTGCCACCTGGAATTGCTGGAGGAAAAAGAAGAAGGTAATTTGTTTTAATGGCAGAATTTTTTGTGAATATTTTCCTTAAATACATTGATGAGCACCACAAATTAGACCTCTTGCATCAACCCTTAATAGTAGTAGAATTTTCCCCATAAACCACCACCACCCTCGGCATGGCCAAAAAACAAAAAACAATCTCTCTCTTGGCTACGCTCAATGCTCTTAAGTGCGGGGGTGTTTCTCCAGCTCTCTTGCGGGCAAAGAGAGTGGAGTAGAATAGAGTAGTGTGTAGTAGCCGTGTGGAGCTTTTCATTCAAGATATTTTTTGTTTGTTGCTTGCTTGCACAGAGCTTTAGGCTTTCGGGGGGTATGCGTAATTTAGCGTGAAAGTATGCATTATTATACACTACGCCATACAATTTCATGGCGGTACATTTCGTTTTGGTTCCATGGTGGTGGCGGCGACTGCGGCAGAATGGTTGTTAGTGATGGTGTATGCAGAGTTGGACCCCCTCCCTCCTTTCCCCGTATCGTCTGTTCACAATGCTTGTAGTTTAGTGTGGCGGTGTATTTGTTTGCGCTGGGGTTTTTGTGTTCTTTTTGAGGATTTGTGCATTCCGGTAGCCGGATTTAAAACACGCCATCATCGTTCATTCTGGTTTGTCTGTTAGTTGGAGTTGTTGTTTTAGTTGGCATTGCTGCTGTTGGATGGTATACTATGAAGATATCAAGAACTAGTAATCTTTGTCAGTGTATGATATGGTAGTGGATTTATACACAGACGCACACACACACACACACACACCGGCACACACCTGCTAGCCAACCTACCTATTTTTACAAATACTAATATAAATGTTGTGTAGTAATTTCATTTTTTAGACGTGCCTGTTGTTGTTGTGGTTGTTTTTGTGAATTCCTTATAAATTACATTCTGTAAAACATGAACAATCAATTTAATTTTTTACAACAAAAGCAAAAAAATATCAAGAAATAAAAATATAATACTTAGCATTATTTCAACGTTGCAAACTTAGTTTGTGGTGGCAATGATGTTTCACTAAAGCGCGTCCTGGTATTTCCAGCTACATGATGGTAATAACGGTAGTATTAGAATCTGATAGTTTGAGTTGGAGATATTCAAATATTTCAAAATTCAAATTTAAACGAAAAGCACTTGCTTCGTTTTCGTAATTTTGTAATGGAAAACAAGTGTAAGGACGAGCTGCCAAAACCACTTTTAGGGATATATATGTCACACAGAAAGAACGGGATTGGAAAGCCAGTTAAAATGTCAAGACTACATTGCAATCCTTAGAAATCAACAAATTACCCAATTCAACAAATTACAGTTACCCAATTATTTTTAATGGACCAATTTTTCTTGCAAACATTTTTTAAAGAAATCATCATTGGGCGCCATTTTGTGTTTCCTCGATTTTCCTAAAGGTTTTACTAGAATTTTAGGTACGGGAACGGCTTTTATGTAAACAATATAAATATTTGGCGATCTCCGCAGATTCTGGAACAAAACAAACAATAGCTTGGCCAGCACATGCTTTATTTTTATCATTGGGCGCCATTTGTGGTTGTCTTCAATTTATCTGTTGGTTTAACTACAAATTTGGGCACGGGAACGGGTTTCTTCTAAATAAAGAGCGAGAGTCAGGATTCCGAAACAAAGTTGATATTTTAAAACTTTAACTGGAATATCATTCTGAACGTTTTAATATTTTGGATTCTCTTAAGACTGGTATCAAAATGATTGAGAAAAAATATTGAACATATGCCTAATGAAAACTCTAGATTTTCGGTCTCAGTCTCAGCCACAATATCAAAATCGATATGGCTAAAATTTGATGGAATACGATTTTTAGACTTTTCAATGCCAAAAGTTAAATAATGGCTTAGTTAAAAACCGAATTTTTTAAGAGGCTTTTATAGATAGAAGTCCTTGCATAGTTGTTTCATAAATAGAAGAGCTCTTGCAGGTACTCCATAGACGGAAGAATTTTTAGGCTTTTCTATGATTATACTCTTTGGATAGAATACCTTTTATATGAAGAAGCATACATATATAGAAGTAATTTATCAATGGAAAAACCCCTTTCTTGTAAAAACTGTGCAATAGAGGTCCACATTTCAAAAGGAGTCCCATATAGTAGTGTCTATCGATTTTATATATTTTATTTTCCAGTTTGGCTGGACTAAACAGAAGTTTAACTTTTCGTTACTAAAGTATGCTCACTACCCTCGCCACAGTATTAGAGCCCCTAAAGTATGCTTATAAAGAAAAATGTAAAATTAAAGTATAGATGGCGTTCCCCATAAACGACAGGAAAATATTGAGAACACATTTACCAATTTCTTACCCTTTTGAGTAAATATTCTATTAAATCTAGATTGTGCAACCTCTGTTGCTGTTGAGATATGTTGGCCCTTCCCAATGAATCTTTTTTGTATACGCATATATGTACGAAGATTAAAATCTCAAAATCTCTGTAATCGTAGCGACTACTATAGACAGAAGACAGGATCCCCAAAATTTAGTATAAAATTCTGTCAAGAAGCTGTGAGATGACTGACATTTTTAGCAATTTTTTCTATGAGTAGCGCCATCTAGGTTTGGCTGAACGAGTAAATAAATAAAAACTAAAGAAAACTAAGTATACTTCCAGGCCGGACATTTGATAATAGTAAAAGACACTTAATAAGTCAATTAACGTAAAGTGATTTTTTATCCCATTTTATAAAGCCTTTCTTTTCTTAGTTAAAAATTCTGGGGAGCGCCTAAAATAAGACTATAAAATACTAAAGATAAATGTTGAAGACTCGTTACATATGACTCTAAGATGATGTGTAATTTGGCTTCAATGTTGTTTATGAAGCTACTGGCTATAATCTGTGATAATCCCTGAGAAAAAACAAAATACGTCGGGGTTTGGAATCTGTGAGTAGATCTGTTTCTATCAATAAAAACGTCCTATATCTCTTATGTTTAGAAAATCTGTACTAATTTACTATATATGACGAACAACGGACGGAAACGCAATGGAAGTAGACCTATTTCAACATTAAACCAAATATTTCATTTCAAAAAAGAAAAATACTTTCCATGAAATAAAAATATACATGAAGCACTATTGCCTGGATGTAGGTGGAAAATCTGTGGACGTCGATTTAATATTAAATTCTTAGTCTTTCTTATTTTTATCTATCGGAAAATGATATCCACATTTCAAAGTACAAAATCTCTATAGGGTGCAAATGATTTTAATCATTACATTATAAACCCCAGGCCCCAATACACCCATAAATCGTGTAGCGTACCATACAAATCGATCCAAATCCGGTATACCCTCCTCCCTATTTACATTCGGTATTTGTGTAATACATTTAAGCTGCTGCATCAGCATTATTGTAGAGCTTATGCCATGGGGAGGAGGGGAATATTACACATATAGTGGAGCACCACTCCACAACTGACACATGGCATATATATCTCTGTGATCCCAGAACGATTTAAAGCTCTTCACATAGACTGAGGCAAATAGACACACACACTAACACACACAGAGACGACCATCCATACACATGCAAAAATGTTAACATTCTGACATAACACACTAATTCCTTTACTAATCCCTGGTATTATAAATTGCACTTCAAGTTTTTATGCCATAATAACAATTGCAACAACAATAACAAACAAACATCATAGAACACCAGCAGCAACAATAGCAACAACAACATCAAAAACAACCAGCAATTCATAGTCGTGGTTATAACTTACACACAGACATACACACACACACACTGTTACACTCCAATCCGACTCTGGACTCTGTTACACTTTGGCCCATATGAGCGAGCGAAGCAAGCAGTGCCTGATAGTTCTGGTGGCAAGGAATGTTATCCTGTCTGCCCGTCCAACCGACCGACCGACCGACCGACCGACCGCATCGTTTATAGTTATGTATTTGAGTATTAGCTCTTGTTCCCTTGTTTGGTTAGTTTTCTAATTTCTATTTTTGTTTGCTGCGGCAGCATTGTCCGTTTGTTTTTATGATTATGTACTTAAATTCATCCGAACACCTCTTCTCGTCGCTTTGCCCCCCTCTGGGTCCCCCCAGTGCTTAATGACTCGACTCCCCGGCATTTAAAGTCAGCTCGGTGTGCTGTTGCGAATCGTATGTGTAGTTGTGTGGGATGATGTGTTTCCATAACCTAAGAGGCGATTAAGTTTTATTTCCTTTCCGGGCTTTGCAACATATGCTGTCTTATGGATTATTGAGGCTTTCGGGTATCACCAGGCGGGCACCAGCCGGTCTTGAAGATCTCGGGAAATGTTGTCATTTGGTGAAAGCCAAGCGCGGGTGGCTTTTATGATGCACATTGCGGGATGCATACATGTACCAATAATTTTCCTGCTTTGAGGTCATCTTTGTCTTGAGAAGTTTAATTTTTATAAAGTAAAGACATTTAATGCCATGTTTACGTTAGAACTTTTTGTAGGGTTAACCTACTTTGAGAGGATTTATTTGAAGTAAAAGTAATGGAAATGACAATTTAAATCCAAATCCAGTGGGTTAACCCTCATATATATAAACGTACTGTAAGAGAGATAGAGAGACAAAAAGAGAGAGAGAGAAAGACATAAATAAATTCTTTAGTTTTTTTAAGTAAGAAGTTTGTGGGTGTTTTTAAATACTACACCTTTTTTGAGTAAAGCAGGAAGGAGATGAGCTAAAAGAGATTGTCAAAAGAAAAGTGTTCTCCGCGGATTGCTCTCTTTTACAGATATTTTGTGTTAACAGACGACTTCGAGCATAAATTTGCCAAAGTTTTTTTTTTTTAAATGTTTGGATATATCTATTATGCAGGTGCCAGATGACTGAGGACTGGAAGGAATATAGCTACAGCAAAGACATTAGAGATTTAGAGAGTATGGATATCCCGTTTGGTGGTCCTGGAGGTGTGGGATTTTTTAGGGATCTTCAAGACGATCGAACTCTTACTTGTTTAAGCAATTGGGTTCGTGATTTTTGGACTTAGTGGAGTGAGATCCCTAGCGGATTATCAAATGGCAACAAAGCTGCCTACAAATCATGACAGGAGACTATATTCTGGTGCTGCGGATTTCTAGTGTCCCCCTACCTATGATAGGTTTTTTCTTGTGAAGCTCTGTGGTGACTGTGCTTTGTACTCAAATCGCTGTTAGAACATCGGCTGGAATGTAAAATTACGTCCTCAACCGGGTGCCCATTAAGGGGTGATCCACACCTAATCAAGGTGATGACTATGGCAAAATGTGTGAGAGCGAATTAATACTAATATCCATGTGTGGGTGTTGATAGACTAGTTTATTCATCAGGTGCTAAGACCACTGTTAGATAGGCTATATGGCAGGGTCGGGCAGATAGTAGCATTTTAATTTTCTCCGAATTTTCTTAGCCTCTCATTACATTATTTCCAAGCATAGGTGTCCAAAAATTAGGAGAGAGAGACAGAGAGAGAGGAGAGAGAAAGTTTACGTTAGAGTAATGCCTCCTTGTTAAGGCTCAGTTAGACGTGACATACAATATCGCCGTGGCCATAAACATAACCGTATGTACACACATTACATGCGTTATGGCTAAGCATTATGGTATATATCACTTATAATAAATTACATTGCACCCCATAAGATTTTATATGGTTATGGTTATGGCTGTCTAATGGAACCTTTAAGCATAGATACGAGAGACACCGGGACCTTGCATGAATGGTTACCGATGCTGTGGAGAAAACTATGCCAGCTTAGAGCACACGTGCCTGTATTTAGTCCTGATATATGGTAGACGCGTTGTGTACATTCTCAAAATTAGTGAAAATGGCATGTTCAAAAATGTAGGAGGTGAAATCGCAAAGCATAAATAAAATCTACCGAAGAGTTAGATTAGACTTTGGATTCTTTGGTCTCTCATTAGTCTTCTGTTGAAAGTTGTAAATGACACAGAGCGTACTCGATCGATTCGTTTGGTCTTCGCTCTTACATACATGGTCTTCGTCCTTACATAGCCAGTGTAGGCTACGAGTTTTTCAATAGGTCATCTGTAGTCAAGTCAAGTTTTCAGCACATAAAGGTATTCTATCCGAATCCACTTTCAGTCCTCCCAATTGCATACCTGCCGCCTTATCCCTTTTAACTTTGCTATAAAGGTCAAAGAACTTTGAAGGAACAAAAGTAATTTCGTCCTCTGCCTTAGGGCCGCTGAAGTAACTGTCTTAAATCCAAACACACCGATGCATAACAATTTAAAGTATGTTTTCCTTAATTCATATTCCATTAAAATTGAAAACAGCAACAGCAATGGTAGCTAAGAAGTTTGGTTTCATCTCAAACCTCCCGTCCCCTCTCAGTTTCCTCTTTAAACATTTCCTTTACACTTCAACTGCCTAGAAGAAAAAAAGCTGAACTGCGCAATACCTACCTGCCTGCCTGTCTGCCCCTCATTGAAGGCAGCTATGAATGAATTCATCGTTCACGGATTTTTACAACAAATCATTCATACGCTTCATGAACCGAACTCGAACTTTGGTTCTGTGAATTTCATCAGATTTTGCTCTGTATCCTTTATTCAGCGCTCGAATTGCTGCAGTCTTGCAATTTTCTCTCTCTCCCTCTGAGGAAAAAAAAACACAACAACAACAATGAGAAACGGGAAAAGATGAAAAAATTATGCTAAAAACACAAGAACAACAACAACAACAGCACAAATAAACGACAATAATCACAAAAGGCATTCGAAGCGTCGTCCGTTTGTCTGATTGTTGGCGTTAGTTATTTTTTTTTGTTTTGCTCTTCCACTTCCGTTTCTAGATAAATATTTTACACGATTGTTGTGACGGAAAAGACAAAAAATGAAAATAACCGAAGAAATGTGAATCTCTCACTCGGTGTGAGAGTGTGACTGTCTCTCTGTGTGTGTGTTTGTGAGTGTGCGACATTTTTTCTTTTGTGAATGGATAGATGGATGCTTTTTGCTTTAATGCCTATGATAATGATGGTGGCAGGAGCAGCAACAGCAGCGCCAAGTGCTGCGATGAAGATGTTGATGGCGGTGCGGATAATGGCGACTAAAAATGTGAATATATGGAACGATGCTGCTGCTGCTGCTGCAAAGACGGCGATGAGGATGGAGATGAAGGCGATGACTTTGTGTGTTCTTGCAATTATGCCAGTACAGTAGTCTCAAGTATTGTATTTGTAGCTGTCTCTGTGTGTGTGTGTGTGTGAACAAAACACAGCAGCAACTGTAGCAGCATCAGCAACAACAAAGCCTTGCAATGCATTCTAAAAATGCAATCACAAAAACAACAACAACAACCATAACACGAACTAAAATTCTATAACAAATACTCATAAATTTGCCCATGAGTGTGAATGTGTTTGTGTGTGTGTGAGTGTGGGTGTGTGCTATGTGGCAAACAATGAACCAACTTTTCACCGACAGACATTCATTTTATTGTCCCATTGCCAGGATAAGATGGAAATCTTTTATCAACAACAAAAAATAACAACAACGGCAACAACAACTGCAAACCAAGCAAAAACCTAAAACGTTATTAAAAGAGCCAAGAATGGCTATGACACAAAAGCAGCAGCAGCAACAACAACAGCAACCGATGTCTAACACTTGTCTGGCTAGATATAGTGCGATTTGTAAGGCGGGTGGTGTGAAAATTGTGGGGAAAATGCCCTGTAAAGCATCGAAATAGCCAGAGCAGTACAGAGGGATAGTTCAACAATAAATAAATTTTCCTTTGAACAAGGCTGGGGAATTTTCCTCGGTTCAGTGACTTTGACGCTTGAATTGAGGTCTAGCTACGGATCCATAACTTGAGATCACTTAGTGATAGTGGCTGACCTTATTGACCCATCAGTCATTCAACTAAGGTGAAGTCTCCAGCCTAGGCTCCATCCCAATGGCTTTAACTATGAATCAATGGGATTAACTCCGATCAGTTTAACCTCGAGTCAAAGATTTGGACAACAGGTCAATGGATTTGACGTCGAGACATAGAATTGCCCACCATCACCATATAATTTTGATTTCAGATCAATAATTTTGACAGCTCACTGGTATTGACTAGGGACCAAACAAATGAACTCGATGTCAACAACTCTCATCATAGGCTATGACTCCAAGCAGGTTCAATGATTTGGTCATGGTTGAATGATTCCGAATATTAGGCGATATATATTGTTCAGTGTCTTTGATCGCGGGTAAATGTTTACTACAAGGGACGTTTGGAGGTTGGGACGAGCTCCCTCCGAAATGTTTGGTCATTTCTTCTAAAAAGATTCTGAATTAGGGTCAAATTCTTCGTCCCATATATCATTGGCCCGTGACCTTCACCAAAATATACCAGATCCCAATCAAGCGGCAATACCTGTAGTTTTTGCTCTACCAAATATCCACGATTTTTGATTTAATCTATTATCCTCCTACCTTTCTTCTCCTCTACCTCTTATACATCATTACACCTGACAGTTAGGCTTTAGATCATGGCTCACAAGATATTGGCAAGAGGTTGGGTGGTGCCGTGCCTTTTCCGAGTTGCCGTTGTTGTTGTTCGTAGCACGAACACCCCCTGATTTATCCTTACGAACATTAGAACGTGATTTATACTCACATCAAGCTAAAGGTAGATATCACCTTAAGCCTTTTTCATATTTACCGTGGTAGGAACCACAGCTCTACACACGCCCGCTACCATTACACACACACATACATACGTACATAATTTAGCACCGCAGGTAACAATTATTTTTTACACAAAAGCCAAAGTGTCTACGGCGGAACCAAAGGAAGCACACATGGCACTTGCTAGCTTGGCAAAGGACCCTTTTTTGAATGACAGGATGTGTCTGTGTCTGTAGGGGTGCATGAGCGTGTGTGTGTGCGGCTGTGCATGTTTATTGTTTAGCTTACGTTTAATGCAGAAACACGTTTAGAAGCTATTAGAAGTTAACATCTCCAACACCAACATATCAGAGGAGCAGGAATATTTCTTGTTGTAGTTGTTGCTTTCATTCCGTCCTTGTGATTACTTTTCAGTCAGCCAGTCAGACTCCCTGGAGGGTTTTAAAGACAATCAAAGTATTCCTGGTTGTCTTTCACTGCCTTTCTTTGAAACAAAAAATGTTGAAGCCATTGTCTTTGGTTGCTGCCCGGACAAATGGATGTGGGCAACGAGAATGGGAGGAATGCTGTAACAAAAGCCAAGAATAGGAAATAATTTAGCAAGAAATTTTCCAGACGTAGAATGTTTTCACATAAAAACCAGAAATGTTTGGAGGCTGAAATACAGAATAGAATGAAAATCAAGTTTATAATTTAATTTGTTGTTTTGGGAAATTGAATATTTTAATTTCCAGACACCTTTGGACAATAGTTTACCGAGGTTCAACTGTATTAATTATTTCTAGCTGAAAATTAAGAAATCTGTGCTGAGATTTACTGGATATCACTTTCATGCTGAGGAGCAAATGTTCCCTCAATATTTTGTGGGAATTTACTTTATTTTGTTAATGAGTCTTTTTGAAAATATAATTTTAAGAAAATACGAAGACATAACGCACATAAACAGAGATAAGAAACATTTTGCAAAACTATTTTTTGACAATTAAAGCGGAAATTTCTATTTTTGTTAATTTGTTTATCATTTCGATCTTTTCTTGTTTTCTCTTTTACAGACAATTTGCCAATTCGGTCATCAACTGAAAAAAAAAAATAAACAAAGACTCGACTCAAAACAAAATCAAAAATAACACAGGAAACTAACAAGATGTCCGACTCACATTTGCTGGGGGTGTGAATGAGCGATTTAATCCATCAAATCTATAGAATTGGCAACAGGAGCCATAAAAGCTGGAAGCCACAATGGTGGAATCATCAAATCTGGGTAGGACGCTGAACAATCCGCCGGTTCAGCCTCTGCCCACACAGTATCCGTCTGGCATGCGTTGCGGCACGCTGGAGACAAGGGTGCGCGGAGCCTGGTATCGGGTGTTGGTAACATTGGAAACTGACTACTTGGCCATCAGTTTGGATGAGACCTGTGAGAATGCGGGCAATGGTGGGGATCAGTCAACGACACTGAATGGAACCTTGGGGTAAGCCAGAGATGGGAGTGTTGTTGTCCATCGAATATTAATGTTTGTGTGTGTGTGTTTTTTTTTTCAGAAGTAATCACAGTGGCCACAATGGTTCAATACCTTCATCGGCATCCATGCAGGGCATGGTTGGAGGTGGTGGTGTCGGTGGCGGTGTTGTGGGTAGTGGTGGTGGCACCTCAACAATAAATTCCACAACAACTAGCAACGAATTGGACGCAACGGACAATGGTGATCACATGCTGAACAACAATACGCTGGACAATGGCATGGATATGTGCGATGTACCTGATCATGTGGCAAATCAAAAGAGACATGTAAGTAAGGGAAAAGAGAAAAGCAGAGAGCTTAATATATGTTCAAGATTTGGAGAGAGTTTATGAGAGAGTAATGCCATAGACAAATAAAGGTATAGACCAGGGGTGCTCAAAACCGTGTTCTAGAACATGAAGAGAAAAAAGAGATAATTTAAGAGAAAATTAAAATTCTGTTTTTCTTTATATTTTACTGTTCTATTTAATTGTTTTTAAACACGAATGTTTACCAAAATAGTTTATAAAGCAAATGGATAATGGATATAAAGCAATGGATAGTCTATACTATAGACTAAAAAGTTTTAAAATTTACCCCTTCCGGCAGATGTCACTATGGTTGATCTTGGGCCAGTAAAGTCACTCGACTTCGAAAACATTTTATTCATTTTTCTGCTATTTAAGTTCTATATTTTTATATTTCACGACATATTTGAATAATATAAAAGTAAACAAAGTCACTGTTTCGTTTTTAAGTGATAAATAATAATGAATCATAAAAATATTCAATATTTTTTATTTTGAGAGAATTGAGTGAGTCTACTGAACCTCTCTCACAGCATGAACGACATCTATTGAAGCATTTTTTCGAAGATAACAGATGAGACAACTTTTTAGTCTATACATTTATTTGTCTATGGTAATAATAATAAATATAAAGCGTGGCACAGGCAAAGACTGAGGTTTTTTGGCACTTTTTTAAAATATATAATTATTCAATTGCATACTTTAAGGCAGCATATATTAAAACATTAATAATTGATGGGAATATTAAATTTGACCGCTATCTATAGATGAATAGCCATATACGAAATACAAAATTGGCGAGCATACCTTTAGGCAATAATAACGAAATTGTGAGGTCTTGACTATAACCAATTATTTTGGGATATTTTTATTCCCACGAACAGAGGAAATACCGGCAGTGTTTTAGAAAATTTTTAAGAAAATTAATTGATATTATAACTTTAATTAAACTCGTGCTTTTAGCATAATCAACAATCGAACTGCCAGTTACTATTAAATAATTTATAGCATACTTATGGGCACTTTCCACAATTTTAAGACTAGAATATTATGGTCAAAATAACATATTTCATATTGTCTTTTTAAGTCAATAAATTTTTGGAAGCGCCTAAAATTATGCTTGAAAAATTCTAAATTAAAAATGAGAAACAGTCACTTTACATATGACTCGAGCATGATGTGTAAACTATCTCTTAGGTGTGTGTCGACTTCATGGAATATTTATTTGTCATTTTCTTTTTCTTTTTCTTAATTTTTTTAAATTAAAATTTTTTTCTTTCAGGTTCGCATAATTAAGTCTGAAAACAATGGTCTGGGTATATCCATTAAAGGTGGGCGTGAAAATCGCATGCCCATACTTATATCGAAAATATTTCGAGGCATGGCTGCGGATCAGGCCAAAGGCTTGTATGTGGGAGATGCTATACTTTCGGTGAACGGCGAAGAGTTGCGAGAGGCCACACATGACGAGGCGGTGAGGGCTTTGAAAAGAGCCGGTCGTGTGGTGGATTTGGAAGGTAAGTCAAATTTCGAAAAAAAAACACAAAATTCAAAATCATATGGATTTGTTCGGAATTTGGATTTTCGGATTGTGAATATTCCAATTTATCTAAAAAAATTTGCGGAAATTTGAACAAAAACCCCAAAAATTCCAATTCTCTTAATTATTGTGGTAAATTGATGTTTCTGCCACCACTTGGAATGAGGAAGTCGATGGGGTATTACACACAAAAACACAGGCATTAACACGAATAAAACAAGACAATTTAAACACTTGCCAATCACAAGAATTGTGTGTGGAATTTTAAGCAGTTCAGTAGTTCCGAAAACTATTTTAAATACCAGACAGGTGGTGTGGGGAGGGGACGAAGGCAGCGCCTGGAGAGTGATTACATTTAATTTGTTACCGGTTTAGTCAAATTGGATGAAGGATGTTTAAGATATGTGAGGAGATTTATTTTCGCATGAGTGTGTGTGTGTGTTTCATGGGCGAAACAAACATGTGTGTGAATGTGTAGTGGCAAGATAAATTGATAGACATACGAATATTGCTATGTATGCGTGTTGTGATTGTATTGCTAACCAAACAAACAGAAAAAATATGAAATCATTTTTCCTTTTGCCATTAACTCCATTAATTCAAACAAGTTTTTGACATATTCCCCGGGCAACATTATTCAAAATCATTTTCCCACACAGATTGTGCAAATTTGTTGGCATGTATGTGTGTGTGTGGCTTTTTTTATTACAATATGTCATAATATGCATACTCACATATGTATGTATGTGTGTGTTTAAATAAAATAGTGTAATAGTAAATGCCAACATTCAGCAAACATGCATACACACTCACACACACACACACAAAGAGAGCATTACCCATACTCCTTTAGCTGCTGGCCTGGCCTGGGTGATGTATGAATACAAGACAGGGTCACATATGGCACATTATTTGCTACAACTGCATAAAATTACAAAAAATATGACATAATTTATCATCACAGGCCTCAAAAACTACAAATGAGAGAAAAATAAAAAAGAATACATGCCCGGATGTAAGTAGTTGTACCAGCGGCTGGCGCAGCACAGTGGTTCCGAGCTTAAAATTTTTTATTTTTTAATTTAAAAATTGTTAGAAACCCAAAACTGTATGCAATGAAAATGCTAAATATAACCGTTCAAACACAATGCGATGAGAGAGAGTAACACAATTGTGAGAACTAAAATTGTGCCTCTCTTCTCGACGTTGAACTAATGGCCAATCATGTTGAGATCAAGAAATTGTCAGTTATGTATTTGTACAGATCCCCATTTCCGACATGTTGAATTGTGTGTCCTTGGAAGATTTTAAGCCCCTTGCGGGTAAGGCAAAAGCAGGGATGCGTGCCTTCAATGATGTTTTAGAGCTGGGCCGGGTTGAGAGTTTAACTTTTTTGTTCTCCCAATTTAGTTACTCTCTGATAATATTTCTTTTTCAGTGGTTTAGTGGGGCTGCTCTTGCCTAGCCCTTCTTAAGAGCTTAAAAATCTTCTTTTTTAACCACTTTGTAACTTCGAATATACTCATATATATGTATGTATGTGTGTGTTGGCATGACTGCGTGATTGTTTGGTGTGCATAATAACCCTAGAGTTGATAATGCAATTTTAACCTTTTTTTTGCTCCGAGAGTAAATGAATTAACATAATAAAAAAATAACAATCAACAGTGACATGCTTACACACACACTGACAACTGCATGGACAAGCAAGCAGGCAGGCAGAAGTAAAAAATGCCATGAATCTGCCTCGGCAAATGTACATTCGAAAAACACACACACACTCACACTCGCAAACAACACCAATACATTTAAAAAGACATAAGGACAAATAATCATTTGACACAAACACACACACATACTCACCAACAGAAGCCTGGGAGCAACAGAGACTCACACACACACACACACACATCACCATCTATAGGAAACACGAGCAACGAGAGAGAGCATTGTACGACTGTTGCCTGGTTGGTGTTGAGTCAGTTCGAGACAAGTTCGAAATAAAAACGATACAATAAATTTAAGTACGTGAGTGGCATAGACGACGATGGCGATGACGACGGCTGCAACAGCGTAAAAATGAAAACGAATTCAATTCCATGCCAAAACAAAACAAAAAGGCGAACAACACGAACAGCTACTACAAGCCGAATGTATAACAGTCGCTGATGACAAACATATGTATTAATGCACGTACATATACTATAAAATAAGGCTATGTGTGTATGTTGCGAATCGTATCGTACGCGCTACATGATGATCATGCTGATGATGATTTTTGTTGTTGTTGTTGTTGCTGGCCGGCCATTCGGATGATTATCATTTATTACAAATTAACATTGAACTCCAAAATGAAACGCATAACTATGCCCGCTGTGTGTGAGTGTATGTGTTGGCATTTATTCGACTATAGGTATGTTGGGAGGTTTATGTGTCTCTAGGTGCTATGTGAGGAAGATAATATTAAGGTGGTTCGGAAAAATTATGGAATATGGTAATCAAATGAATAACATAATAGAATTGAGTTATTCTTTTGGTTTTTTTACAAACAAAATTCGAAGCTGATTTAAGAAGATTAAGAGAGCTTTTTTTTAAAAAAATGTAACGAGGGTTTCTTGTCGGTACCAAGTTCTCCATGAGGGTCCTCATAAATCTTAGAGTAGAATTTTTCCTTTTCTTGGGGTAAAATTCGGATGTTTTATTACTTTAAATACTTAATTACAATCTAGCCGTGATTAAATCCGAATATATGGATTTTTTGGGGAATTGACTTTAGATATACTCGAGAATTCAATATATAGCTGGGAGCAATTGCTGATCGAAAATTCGATACTTACGACGGTCGGGTGTGCTAGTTTAGCTATTCGGTTTCTTGGCGATTTGTAGATAATTGGGAACTATGATGTATGAACGTTGGGTTTCCGGGGATAACGTTAATGATCTTCGGGATGTAGGCTGTTTGAAGATAATCGGGAACTTTGATAAATGTTCGTGGGGTATTACGACGTTCGGATTACGGAAGATCCGATACTAATCCTGTAGACGCATTGTAGATGATTTGAAGATAATCGGGAATTCTAATAAATAGTCGTCGGGGATCACGATGTAAGAAAGGATCCCATGATAATCGGGAATTCGATGATGATGCTCTGTTTGGAGACGATTTGAAATAAATCGGGAACTGTAATAAATGGAGGGCGGGTGTCGGGGGATTACGATGATGATCTACGAATTGTAGGCGATTTCAAGATAATCGGAATTCTGTTGAATGGTTGTCGGGGATCACGATGTTCGGATTACAGGGGTCCAAGAATAATCCAGCATTTTGGTGAACGGTCTTCGATGACTACGCCCGGGTTATAAATGATTTTATTGCTCGGTTTGTAATCGGGATTGCTGGTGAAAAGCGTTTCGGCTCACAGGTGTTTGGGTCATGTACGAGGAGTAGACAATGGGAAATTATGCTCATCGGTCGGAAAACAGTAAATGATTTCAAAACCACCACGTACCCTTTAAGGAAGCCCCCTGAGGTAGTGAATGTGATCCGTCAACCGAAACGAAATCTATATATTGCACCACCATAGCCAAGTGAATGCGAATTATTTCTCATGTGTTGTTATGATGATGCTGGCAAACCAATGGCTATTCCTCGATAGGTGGTGTAAGCATTGCTTATGGTGGTTTAGTTGTTTGTCGGTCTATTGCAGGACAAGTTTTGATTGTGTATGTCTCACAGACATGAACATCGAGAGGGTATCTCTCGCTTCTGGCTGCCTGCATCGATCGATGTTGAGTTGGAGAGCGCTTGTCTGTTGCGCTGCGGTTTGTTGGTGAGGTGGGCTGTGTGATGTTAGAGTGTGGTGTGATCGGTGATGGCTGATACTGAGTGTTGTTGGCTTAAATTGCTGTCGAACGATCTTTTAATGTCCAGAGTATATTTTTAAGCTACTCTCCCAAAAAAAATATTTGTGGGGTATAGAAGGCCTAGGAATGCTTCTAGCTGATAAAAGATCTATATCGCTTATTTGACCAATAAAAGACCCAAACGACCATTTTCCCTAAAATAGATAGATAGAAAGTGAAAAAGTCATACTTACTCTGAAATGTTTTTATTTTATTGACTCTTACTAGGGCTTCGTAGACGTATTCAATTTCTTTTACCACAGATAAAATCAAAGTTCGAGCCCTCGAAGAATGACTTTACTTAACACAATATCCACAATACTTAATATACAGACTCCAATCCCGATTTAGGCGGCTCGCCTCCGACATGTTAGTCTTTGCAAAACCATAAACCCTGAGATTATTGTTTTCGAATAAATATTTGATATTATTTTTTAAAATTAAAAAAAAAAAAAACAATTAATAATTCATAGCACACACACACGTTAATAACTGTTATTTATTTCCACTCTGAGATTAATATTCCCCCAGAGTTCCACCCTAATAACCTCATGGTTGACTCAATTTTGTTTTGTTTTTCTCTGAACTATTTGCCCAGCTAGCGCTCTGTATAGGCAGCTCTTTGTGTGTGATCTACATTTGTATGCTGCTGCACGACACCGTTTAAATGAACAATTGTTTAAGGCGACTAAATAATAGCAGTGCGAGGGCGGGGCGGTGTCGTCGAGAGGTAGTACGACGGCTTGAAGGGAACCTTAACACTCTAGACAGGGTCTGAAACAATTATGCGTTTAACGCGTCATCGACAAAAATTTTGTAGCTTTTTTTCAAGTTTTGTTTGGCTTTGCCTTGATTCCATCCAACAAGAATTGAATTCTTGATCATTTATAGGTTATTGAGTTTTATTGAATTTTATTGAGGACCGCTGTTGTGAATTTTGTTTTTGAATACGAAAAATATTTATTTTTATTGTATTCTGTTTCGTTTTTTGCCAATGACTGACTCCCCGCCAAAATGCCACAATTTGTCATCAAAGGTTGTTTTAACTATAAAAGCTTAGTTTGGCTCATTCAG